TGATCTTTGCATATCTTTGCAGATTGGAGACATTCTGAAAGACATTTGTCTGCAGACAGATGAACCATGGATCCCACATGCCGTTCACAAACATGCAGCTTTCACAACGATGTTCAGTTGCAGCATTGTTTCCTGTCTGTCTCTGTTTGCTGATCTTTTGCTTCCACATCCCTGGTATGTTAGGCCTGTTCGGAAAGGTACCAGTGACATTGAGCCTGGAATCCCAGATTCCTTCAATTGTCCAACAAGCCACATGAGACAAAAATCAAAACAGGAAAATCAGGTGGAGTTTGTTTGGTTGTCGTGGATGCAGCTGTCTTGATTTTCAGCGAATTAGGATATATTTTGATCAATTCTGGGGTTAAGCTGTGCAGTCAAAAAAAGAGTTTGCTGGACATTTGTTTGCGATGAATTCCATACTTAGGCCTACCAGACCTTCCACAAGTGATGCCTCACCTAGAGTGGTGGATCGTAATCTACAAAGGCCGTTGGAACATGATCTTTGCATATCTTTGCAGATTGGAGACATTCCTCAAAGACATTTGTCTGCAGACAGATGAACCATGGATCCCACATGCCGTTCACAAACATGCAGCTTTCACAACGATGTTCAGTTGCAGCATTGTTTCCTGTCTGTCTCTGTTTGCTTATCTTTTGCTTCCACATCCCTGGTATGTTAGGCCTGTTCGGAAAGGTACCAGTGACATTGAGCCTGGAATCCCAGATTCCTTCAATTGTCCAACAAGCCACATGAGACAAAAATCAAAACAGGAAAATCAGGAGGAGTTTGTTTGGTTGTCGTGGATGCAGCTGTCTTGATTTTCAGCGAATTAGGATATATTTTGATCAATTCTGGGGTTAAGCTGTGCAGTCAAAAAAGAGTTGTGCTGGAAAAAAACTCCAAAGAAAACTTTTGTTGCGATGAATTCCCATAACTTAGCCTACCAGAACCTTCCACCAGTGCTGGCCTCACCTTAGTGGTTGGATCGTAATTAACAAAGGGCCGTTGGGAACCATGATCTTTGCATATCTTTGCATGGGATTGAGACATCCCAATACTTTGTTTGCAGACAGATGACCGTCCATGGACCCCCCCCCCCCCCCCCCCATGCCGTTCACACCACAACCAAACATGCAAGCTTTCACAACGTGTTCTTGCAGCATTGTTTCCTGTCTGTCTCTGTTTGCTTATCTTCTGCCGTCCACATCCCTGGTATGTTAGGCCTGTTCGAAAGGTAACCAGACATTGAGTCCTGGAATCCCAGATTCCTCAATTGTTCCAACAAGCCACATGAGACCAAAATCAAAACAGGAAAATCAGGTGGAGTTTGTTTGGTTGTCGTGGATGCAGCTGTCTTGATTTTCAGCGAATTAGGATATATTTTGATCAATTCTGGGGTTAAGCTGTGCAGTCAAAAAAAGAGTTTGCTGGACATTTGTTTGCGATGAATTCCATACTTAGGCCTACCAGACCTTCCACAAGTGATGCCTCACCTAGAGTGGTGGATCGTAATCTACAAAGGCCGTTGGAACATGATCTTTGCATATCTTTGCAGATTGGAGACATTCCTCAAAGACATTTGTCTGCAGACAGATGAACCATGGATCCCACATGCCGTTCACAAACATGCAGCTTTCACAACGATGTTCAGTTGCAGCATTGTTTCCTGTCTGTCTCTGTTTGCTTATCTTTTGCTTCCACATCCCTGGTATGTTAGGCCTGTTCGGAAAGGTACCAGTGACATTGAGCCTGGAATCCCAGATTCCTTCAATTGTCCAACAAGCCACATGAGACAAAAATCAAGACAGGAAAATCAGGTGGAGTTTGTTTGGTTGTCGTGGATGCAGCTGTCTTGATTTTCAGCGAATTAGGATATATTTTGATCAATTCTGGGGTTAAGCTGTGCAGTCAAAAAAAGAGTTTGCTGGACATTTGTTTGCGATGAATTCCATACTTAGGCCTACCAGACCTTCCACAAGTGATGCCTCACCTAGAGTGGTGGATCGTAATCTACAAAGGCCGTTGGAACATGATCTTTGCATATCTTTGCATGGGATTGGAGACATTCCTCAAAGACATTTGTTTGCAGACAGATGAACGTCCATGGACCCCCCATGCCGTTCACAAACATGCAGCTTTCACAACGATGTTCAGTTGCAGCATTGTTTCCTGTCTGTCTCTGTTTGCTTATCTTTTGCTTCCACATCCCTGGTATGTTAGGCCTGTTCGGAAAGGTACCAGTGACATTGAGCCTGGAATCCCAGATTCCTTCAATTGTCCAACAAGCCACATGAGACAAAAATCAAAACAGGAAAATCAGGTGGAGTTTGTTTGGTTGTCGTGGATGTGCGCTGTTCTTGAATTTTCAGCGATTTAGGATAATTTGACATTCTGGGGTTAACTGTGCAGTCAAAAAAAAGTTTTGCTGGACATTTGTTTGCGATGAATTCCATACTTAGGCCTACCAGACCTTCCACAAGTGATGCCTCACCTAGAGTGGTGGATCGTAATCTACAAAGGCCGTTGGAACATGATCTTTGCATATCTTTGCAGATTGGAGACATTCCTCAAAGACATTTGTCTGCAGACAGATGAACCATGGATCCCACATGCCGTTCACAAACATGCAGCTTTCACAACGATGTTCAGTTGCAGCATTGTTTCCTGTCTGTCTCTGTTTGCTTATCTTTTGCTTCCACATCCCTGGTATGTTAGGCCTGTTCGGAAAGGTACCAGTGACATTGAGCCTGGAATCCCAGATTCCTTCAATTGTCCAACAAGCCACATGAGACAAAAATCAAAACAGGAAAATCAGGTGGAGTTTGTTTGGTTGTCGTGGATGCAGCTGTCTTGATTTTCAGCGAATTAGGATATATTTTGATCAATTCTGGGGTTAAGCTGTGCAGTCAAAAAAAGAGTTTGCTGGACATTTGTTTGCGATGAATTCCATACTTAGGCCTACCAGACCTTCCACAAGTGATGCCTCACCTAGAGTGGTGGATCGTAATCTACAAAGGCCGTTGGAACATGATCTTTGCATATCTTTGCATGGGATTGGAGACATTCCTCAAAGACATTTGTTTGCAGACAGATGAACGTCCATGGACCCCCCATGCCGTTCACAAACATGCAGCTTTCACAACGATGTTCAGTTGCAGCATTGTTTCCTGTCTGTCTCTGTTTGCTTATCTTTTGCTTCCACATCCCTGGTATGTTAGGCCTGTTCGGAAAGGTACCAGTGACATTGAGCCTGGAATCCCAGATTCCTTCAATTGTCCAACAAGCCACATGAGACAAAAATCAAAACAGGAAAATCAGGTGGAGTTTGTTTGGTTGTCGTGGATGCAGCTGTCTTGATTTTCAGCGAATTAGGATATATTTTGATCAATTCTGGGGTTAAGCTGTGCAGTCAAAAAAAGAGTTTGCTGGACATTTGTTTGCGATGAATTCCATACTTAGGCCTACCAGACCTTCCACAAGTGATGCCTCACCTAGAGTGGTGGATCGTAATCTACAAAGGCCGTTGGAACATGATCTTTGCATATCTTTGCAGATTGGAGACATTCCTCAAAGACATTTGTCTGCAGACAGATGAACCATGGATCCCACATGCCGTTCACAAACATGCAGCTTTCACAACGATGTTCAGTTGCAGCATTGTTTCCTGTCTGTCTCTGTTTGCTTATCTTTTGCTTCCACATCCCTGGTATGTTAGGCCTGTTCGGAAAGGTACCAGTGACATTGAGCCTGGAATCCCAGATTCCTTCAATTGTCCAACAAGCCACATGAGACAAAAATCAAAACAGGAAAATCAGGTGGAGTTTGTTTGGTTGTCGTGGATGCAGCTGTCTTGATTTTCAGCGAATTAGGATATATTTTGATCAATTCTGGGGTTAAGCTGTGCAGTCAAAAAAAGAGTTTGCTGGACATTTGTTTGCGATGAATTCCATACTTAGGCCTACCAGACCTTCCACAAGTGCTGCCTCACCTAGAGTGGTGGATCGTAATCTACAAAGGCCGTTGGAACATGATCTTTGCATATCTTTGCATGGGATTGGAGACATTCCTCAAAGACATTTGTTTGCAGACAGATGAACGTCCATGGACCCCCCATGCCGTTCACAAACATGCAGCTTTCACAACGATGTTCAGTTGCAGCATTGTTTCCTGTCTGTCTCTGTTTGCTTATCTTTTGCTTCCACATCCCTGGTATGTTAGGCCTGTTCGGAAAGGTACCAGTGACATTGAGCCTGGAATCCCAGATTCCTTCAATTGTCCAACAAGCCACATGAGACAAAAATCAAAACAGGAAAATCAGGTGGAGTTTGTTTGGTTGTCGTGGATGCAGCTGTCTTGATTTTCAGCGAATTAGGATATATTTTGATCAATTCTGGGGTTAAGCTGTGCAGTCAAAAAAAGAGTTTGCTGGACATTTGTTTGCGATGAATTCCATACTTAGGCCTACCAGACCTTCCACAAGTGATGCCTCACCTAGAGTGGTGGATCGTAATCTACAAAGGCCGTTGGAACATGATCTTTGCATATCTTTGCATGGGATTGGAGACATTCCTCAAAGACATTTGTTTGCAGACAGATGAACGTCCATGGACCCCCCATGCCGTTCACAAACATGCAGCTTTCACAACGATGTTCAGTTGCAGCATTGTTTCCTGTCTGTCTCTGTTTGCTTATCTTTTGCTTCCACATCCCTGGTATGTTAGGCCTGTTCGGAAAGGTACCAGTGACATTGAGCCTGGAATCCCAGATTCCTTCAATTGTCCAACAAGCCACATGAGACAAAAATCAAAACAGGAAAATCAGGTGGAGTTTGTTTGGTTGTCGTGGATGCAGCTGTCTTGATTTTCAGCGAATTAGGATATATTTTGATCAATTCTGGGGTTAAGCTGTGCAGTCAAAAAAAGAGTTTTCTGGACATTTGTTTGCGATGAATTCCATACTTAGGCCTACCAGACCTTCCACAAGTGATGCCTCACCTAGAGTGGTGGATCGTAATCTACAAAGGCCGTTGGAACATGATCTTTGCATATCTTTGCATGGGATTGGAGACATTCCTCAAAGACATTTGTTTGCAGACAGATGAACGTCCATGGACCCCCCATGCCGTTCACAAACATGCAGCTTTCACAACGATGTTCAGTTGCAGCATTGTTTCCTGTCTGTCTCTGTTTGCTTATCTTTTGCTTCCACATCCCTGGTATGTTAGGCCTGTTCGGAAAGGTACCAGTGACATTGAGCCTGGAATCCCAGATTCCTTCAATTGTCCAACAAGCCACATGAGACAAAAATCAAAACAGGAAAATCAGGTGGAGTTTGTTTGGTTGTCGTGGATGCAGCTGTCTTGATTTTCAGCGAATTAGGATATATTTTGATCAATTCTGGGGTTAAGCTGTGCAGTCAAAAAAAGAGTTTGCTGGACATTTGTTTGCGATGAATTCCATACTTAGGCCTACCAGACCTTCCACAAGTGATGCCTCACCTAGAGTGGTGGATCGTAATCTACAAAGGCTGGGGGGTTCTGACTTTGTCCAACAAGCTTGCACAGCAAGTGCATCTCTCTCCTCTAAACATGGCAAGCTTTGCGCAAGCGTGAAAGTTGGGAAACTTGTACTGCTTCAGACTGAGCTCTTTCTCCAGCCCGGTAGACCCCACACAAGCAACATCACGCCGATCTCCGTCACGAAGAGGCCGTGCATGTCATCCCTCACCAATGACTTATCAGTGACTCATCAATCTTATGCAGTCCTTGATGCATGATGCATGAGACAAGCTGAAATTGACGGTAAGAAGGTTGGAGCTATGCCAGCTATGCACCATTGGAAAATCCTGAAACATGTCACAATATGTCACAATATGTCACAATATGTCACAATGCACGTTCACTTTACATTCTGGTCCAGCAAGTACCAAGGAACATTTCATTTGTCAAAATTTGTCGGATTTGTGCCTCTCTGCCGATCCTGTATGAAGCTTCTTCTTCTTCTTCTTTTGCATTTTGTTCATTTTGTTCTGTGTCAGATTTGTCCAGCCTTATGTTGACTTGAATTTCTGCTGGCATTTGACCTTTTCGAGCAAAGATCTGGAGAGTTCTTCGCTTTCTTGCGCCAGTTCGGACTAGTCACTAAGTATAGACAACAATTCGATAACAATTCTCAAGTGCGGCCTAGCCGAGCCAAACTTAACAAACATTAACAAACTCTCGAATATTGAGACATTTTGAGATGCCAAGTTTGCGGCGTCACAGGGCGAGCATGTCATTTTTGTCCAGCATGTCGCTGTCATTTTTGGTGATAGGCCTGTCAGACCTCGCACCAGCGATGTCACGTTGCACAACCCAGTGAAAGGGCTGTGCTTTCCGGATGTGACAACATGTGACAACATGTGACACCAGTGTTCGATGCTGATACAAGAGTATAATAGGATTAATAGGAATAGAGTGTATACACACATGATGATGCATACAACATGTAGATGTATACATGTGTCCATGTACATATAATTCATATAATCATGTATATATATGTACATAATGATATAATGTGTATAGACATATATGCACATGTATATGACATTGTCTCTTGTGTGCCTTGTGCACAGACGATCTCGGCGCTTCTAGGTCCCCGCGGCCGCTGCTCTGCAAACGCGGACAGCAGGTGGTGCCCTGCCATGTGTTGTGGTGTAGCGAGGTGTCAAGTGGCACATGTTTTCTTGGACCGGGGGAAACCGGCCAGTGTGACCGAACAGTGTGACCGAATAGTGACAGAAATAGCTCCTGCTGCAAGCGCTTGGGAAATCAACGATAACCAGATGAAACAGCCACTATAGATCATGGATTTATTCATTTTGCCAAGCAATTATAAGTTATCACAAGATATCACAAGCAATCCAAGGATGTGAAATGGATGTGTCAATGACAGAGCACTCCAAGTCACGGCACTTCTTTGGCGCCGGCGCTGGCCTAGCTGTCGAGTGCCGAAAGGCTTTTCATCAAGAGCCAGAGTCATCTCCCAGGCATCGGAATCTGTCGGACACGGTCTCGAAATGTCTCGAAGACAATTCAGACCTCTCGTGATTGATAAAATCTGATGATTGATTAATTTAGATTCGAGAAATTTTAAAGATTTTGAATTTTGAATCTGTCCCCGTCCCCTTGCCGAGATGTAAGCTCCCCTCACCTTTCAGGTTTCCCATCACTCCGTTTCCGTCTCTAGTGCTCAAGTCTTGGAGTTGGCGTTTGGAGCACCGATCCCTTAGCCCTTCATCCGTTTTCCTTTGTCAACATTTTCAGCATTTATTATTTGTATAATTTGTATAAAACTTATATATAATATATATTATCATTCAGTACCATTCATCCTTCTTGTCAGGTGCAACAACATAAAGGAGTGCCTGGACCAGCGAATGGTCTCTCAGCTCAGGGAGAGAGAGAGAGAGAGAGAGCGAGAGTTACTTATCCACAAGGGAAGCAATCATATTATAGCGTTGGTAGTGAGGATGTTTTGAACCTGCAATGACTCATAGAAACTGTGCAGAATTCATGATTCCGAGAGAGTCATGATTCATCATAAAAGCTTTGGACTTGTTGGTGTTCTCGAACAGTGGCCACATCTTTGCACACTTTGGACAACGTGTTGATGCTTGCAATTTCAAACCTTAACGGGGCTGTGTTGCGGAAGCGCTGCATGTAATCCTTTCCAGATTCAAATCGAAGGCATCTTTGGCCATCTGATTTTTTTTCGGCTGTTCACTGCCCTTGCTTTTACGATTCTGTTGACCAATTTCTTGTACGATTCTTTGTGGCTACTTTGACCCGAATTTCACGGGACTCGACTTTTCTATACTTTTCTCAGCTTAGGCCGTGCACATCAAAGAGTTGGAGCAACGCGCCATTCGGGCGGGGAGAGAAGTTCACAAGTCTGCCGCTATTTGTCGCCATTTATTTATTGCTATGCGCTTCAGTAAGGCAACAACTTTTGAGCCTGGTCAAGTTTTTTCATTTGGGAAACGAGTTTTGCTCTGCTCAGCTTGCAGGCTCTTGGCAAACGTCAAGATGAAAAAAGGATGAAAGAAAAACACGAGGACAGCGAAGAGCGAAGAGTGAAGAAGTATGAAGAAGTATGAAGAAGTAATATAGACAGAAGTCGCATCATGGTCGAGTCGAGTCGGCTGAGTCGGTCGAGGGTCTTTTCCAGCGTCCTGTGCCGCCTGTACCGCCTGTGCCGCCTGTGCCGCCTGTTCCCTGTCTCGAGTGTTCCGACTGTCCCGGTGCCGGTGGTCCCACCTCAGCTTTCCCGTCCTGAGATGTTTCAGCCCTTGTAAAATTTACTGAGGGAGCCCCGAAATCTCGAGAATTATGAGAATATATGAGAATGAGACAAAGAAAATCAAAGTAACATGCTTTGTATATCTTTGATATTCTTTGATTATCTTGGTAGATTTTGTAAAGGATGTTCTGTCCAAGGCACCTGAGATGAGGCTTCGTTTGTCATGGTGTGTTTGATGCACAGTAGATGAATGAAATGCATTTCAGACGTATTTCAGATGTCAGCACAGAATGCCACGTCTCTGATTTTGTAGGAGCTCGAGGAGCGCCGGCAACGATTGCACCGATTGTGGCTTCTCTCAGATTGCACCACTGCAGCTAAAGCATGTAGAACATTGTAGAACATTGTAGAACCATGCAGTTACGTATAGTTACGTGTAAAAGTGAGAAAAGTTTTGCTTCGCATCTGAATCTAAACATCTTTGAGTGGCTGACTCGGAGACATTCGGAGACATTGCCCAACAGTAGGAGAAACCTGAGGCGAGAGCATTCGGACTTCCTCATGAAACAAATGGAGGACCTGGTGTAGGTTTGGTTAGGTTATGTCAGCTTAGTATAGCTTAGTTTGATTCTAAAATATTCTCTACAACTTGTGATAATGCGTTTATTCTGCGTGTAAGGATACCTGTTTTCCAGGAGGGATAAAGACATCCTGGAACATGTTGGGACATGCTGGAATTAATTTTCAAAATTTTGCGAGGACAAAGAGATCCGAAGAAAAGCTGAAGCAGCTGAACGAGAGAGTTGTCCTCCTGGAACGCTCTGAAATACTCCGACACCAGTTATGCTTCAACATGATGATATGACATGCAAATTAAATCAATATGGCAGCCCATCTTTTGAAACAAAGCAAGGGTATAGGAAATTAATGGAAATTATATAGAATAGATGAAATCTCTTTCCCTGCTGTTGTCTTTCATTTTCGCTTCGTCAAGAAGTTTCTGACATCACGTCTTCATATCTATCGTCAATGGTCTTGACTTTGCTTGCACACTCGCTGCTTTTCGGACTAAAATAGCATTCCAATGATTTCCGATGATTCCAATGATTTGTTAGTTTCTTTGATTTCCTTGCCTGAAATGGATTTGTTCAAATATTGTGCACGGGACGCAAGGTGTCGTTACAGCTTCCACCCATTCCACACCACGCAAGCCACGAAAGGCCTTCACATATGCGGCCGGTTCTGAGAAGCAAGTTGCTGCCTGTTTTCATCTGTTTTCACGGGTTCTGCAACATGTTTGCAACATGTTTGCAACATGTTTGCAACATGCTCATCACATTACGATCATATTTGGTTTTAGACTGTTTCATATATCTGTCCTTTGACGACCTTTCAAACCAATGCTAGATGCCCTGTAGCAATGAAACTTCTGTTTTGAGCGTGTTGCTTGAAGTACATTAAGCAAAAGGATAGGTTGGGGGGTTCTTCATCTTGCCTTAAAATGGGGTCTTGGGCAGAACCCACCATCATTTGCATGACATTTTCCTTGTCGAGGCTGGTGTTTCAGAGCACCGTCGAGACTTGTTGACCTCGCTTGAAAAGGATTGGACCGCTATTTGGGGAGAGAGGTTAAGCAGCGACTGGACTGGAACGAACAGAGTTGTATCTTGAATATATGTGTACAATTGTGTATGTCTATACGTATATAATTATATATATTATATAAATATGTATATATACACATGTATATTTTTTGATCTAATGATTTCAAGCAGCTTCTTCACCTTCTCGCGTTTTCTGTTTAAATCTGTTTGTGAGATTAAATTGCAAATTACCAAAGCATGCCAAAGCTGACTTTTTCCAGATTTCTCTGACTTTCTTTTCTCAAGATTGAACGATATTGAAAGACCAGCCGGCTTGATCGTCCTGGCACAGGAGGATTGTGCATCGCAGCTCACTGAAGAGTTGGCACAGGATCAGCTGTTGGCAGGTCGCAGCCACAGTCTCCGGGAACTGATGTGACAAACCTCACATTGGAGTCGGATAAAGTGACTGAGCAGTGAGCAGATTGAGCAGGCATACTGAGGATGGAGTGTAGAGTGTAGAGGATATGTAGAGGATATGTAACAGATCGCCAAGTCGTAGCAAGTCGTAGCAAGTCGTAGCAAGTCGTAGCAAGTCGTAGCGTGCCCTCGACGCGACGTCCACCGAGGTCGTCCCCGTCCAGCCGTGCTGCTCGGGCGTTTGAAGGCGCGGGAGGAGTTGCGCGACTGCCTCCACACTCAGATCGAGGCGCGGCGCCATGTGTGATGAAGTATGTGGACTGGCAGTGATGTGAAGAAGGGTGATGTATGTGGCAGTCTGCAGTGCAAAGGCACTGTGGCACCAATGGATACGGCATACTATTAGTACTTGTACTCATGGCACAAATCAGAGAAGGATGTACTTCATAGATCTTCATAGTGTACTAATCAGCAACCGACTTCCAGGTCCAAGTTGACTTCTCATTTTTTCTCATTCACACCCCATGGGTCCCAAAGTTTGATTATGTGATGACTATGATGACTTCTGAGCAAAATTGATTTGTGCCGCACCTGTCCGAAAGCTGCAACTTGCTGGAGCTGTTGATCTGGGTGCTCGGGTGAACAGGCATTCGCTCGGACACGGTTCCTATGAGCCTTTGATTATCGTGAGATCAAAATCGGCTGATTTTTTCGTTTTCCGTTATGCGTATGATTCGTCTGATGTATATACTGTAATATCTGTAATGTGTTTAATGCGTAAAATGCACCTAATGGCTATAATTATTTGTCTAACGCGGTTGTTACATCTAATGCACCTGATGCACAAGAGATGTAATGTGTTTGTTGCGTATGCGTAGAATGCAGCTGATGACTTTATTGACCGGTGAGTGCCGTGAGGTCAAGAGGAAACAGCGGCAAGAACAGGAACGAGAGCGCTTGGAGATGGAGGTGCGCACACCGTGTGGCACATAGGACGCTGAGGTGAAGACAAGTGAGGAGTGTCAGAAATGTCAGAAATGTCAGAAATGTCAGAAATGTCAGAATCTCATTTGTTCATTGTTACAGTTACCGTATGTTGCTATATTGGGGTTCTACAAGCCCACTGAAAAGGGATCACCACAATCCAGTGTTCGAATAGGTTTATAATTTATAATGGTCTATCTAATTTATAAAACTTATACAAACAAACCATTAGAATAAGTTCGAAACCAGTTTTTTGTCACAACCCAAGTGAAGTGTGTTTAACAGATTCTTGAAGAGGAGTGGCTTTCAAAGCCATCTTTTTGAGTTGAGTTCGAGCTGTTTATGCTGCTTAGTGCTGCTGAGTGCTGCTTGGTGCCGTTTGCTACCTTTCTTGGGCCATCGGCAGGTGAGTCTTTTGCAGCAGGAATCCCACTTTATGGAGCTCGAGTGCAGTATGCAAAAGGTCTGGTGTCGGAAATTGTGCAGCAAAACCATGCAAAACCCATATGGAGAATTTGTTGGTAGGATTTTTGAAGACTATTTTGTAGATCTTCGTCATTCGTGCAGCAAAAATATTCACCAAGGAACCACCCAAACCCAAACCATGAAAGTGAACCGTTGCAACGAATTCGGTCCCAGGTGAATAAAGACTAAATCTGTTCATCTAGGCGGTCCACCTACAGAATATCCACCCCTTAATCGCTGTAAGTTGTGGGTGGATTTCATGATATTTACTCTTCTGTTTTTTTGATGTTCTTTGATGTTTATTTTTTGGTGTATATATATATATATTTTTAAATTTATTTGTAATTTGTTTCTGTGAAATGATGCGATTCCCGCTGTCAGATGTTAGCAGCTTAGCAGAAACGCGTTTTTCCAGGCGGCCAAGCGTGAGGAGCAAGAGTCGCTGAAAGAAGCTTGGAGCGCTGACACCCGGAAACTCGGAAACTCCAAGACGGAGACGAATGAGGTGAATAGGAAACTCAGTAACTCGTGAGAGCAACATGAGCAACAGACACGCAAGTAGATAGGTGGACTGGGAAAGATTTTCTAGAATTCATTCTATGGTTGACACTGGATAATCCTCTATGGATTGTTCACCTCACTTTAGTCGTGTTTCTTCAAATTATATAGCCGTCCATATTTTGAAATGCAGTAAACTTTTACTGTGAAAATCTGTGAAATATTGAAGTTTACTAAAGGCAATACAACATATACAACAGAATCACCTCACGATGGGCCGATGGGCCAACCCCCTCAGGCCAAGAATGTAAGTTGCGTGATGTCCACCGAAGAATAGAGGCGCCGTGGGTCGAGAGTAGACTCTGAAGCAAAAAAGAAGACGAGCAGAAATTTGGAAGCAGCATGAAAGGGCATGTTTATGATTGCTTATGTATATAAGATTATATAAGTCTTTAAGCTTGTTCCATATTGTCTCAGAGAAATGCAAGAAGATACAACTTACATCTCGCTCCGTCACTCTACACCATGTTGTACATCACCATAGCGCAGATTGCCGGTGAGTGTGGGCAAAACGTTGAGAATTGAAACTTTCTGATTGCGATTCGATACAGATTTGATGGCACGATATTGCACGATGCACGGATTCTCACGGACTTCACCGGTGCCGTGTTGCACTTGGTGGCTTGGTGGCACTGGCAGCCATGTGGCAGCCAATGTGGCACTGTGTGGCATTCATTTCTGCTTTCTGCTTTGCTTTCTTCTTGTGTTGGAGGCTCTGGAAGATGGCCGCGTACCAAAGGCCGCTTCTCGACTCGTCCACGTTTGATCGCCAGAGGCCAGAGTGACAAAAGACGACAGACATGTCACTGCCGTTCAGTGCCAGTGCTGCCAGTGTTCAGAGTCAGAATGTGTAGGTCTCTTGTCAATTAGGATCATCAAATATCATCAAGCCAGTTATCCTGAATTCTTTTTGTTCAGTTTTCTTGATTTGTTGGTTTGATGTTCTGCAATTTCTGCTTGCTTATTTTTTAAAAAAGTTTTTTGAATTTGCATAATTTTCGGTTCACAGGCGCCACTCTGAGCGTGAGCTGGGTTGGTCTTGGCGTGGCTTTGGCCTCAAGAATCACATACTGGTACTTTCTGGTACTTTCTGGTACTACTGAAGTTATATGATGTTACATGGAACTACTATGGGTCACATAAGTCATATCATGATGTATCATGTGGATTCAGGTGGAGGCTCTGCCACGATGTCTCTTTAGCAATGACAAAGACATACAAAATCAAGAGACTCAAAAGACATCAAGAGACATCAAGAGACACAGATGTCAATTTTCTTCGACATGTCAATTCCGACTGGATCTGGCCCGATTTGTAGATCTCATGATTTCTCACCAGGTCCAAGGCACCAGGAATCCATCAGGAATCCATCAGGAATCGAGCAAAGTTCCACGATTCCTTGGATTCTGCCAATGCTTGAGCTGTGAGTGCTGCGATGAAATCACTATCGCACTTCCCAGGTGATGATTTCAAGAATATGTATTTCATTTATTTTCATTTTATGTATCTATGTAGCTAAGATGTATCTGGTATTATCTGGTTGTTTTGTGAAAAAACAGAAATGCAACAAGGGAATACTTTCTGGGCGCTTCCTTCACACAGACACTGAGAGGGTGTAGAGTGTAGAACCGCATTTGTCACACGTGTCACGCGATGTCACATGTGCCCACTCTTTCCTTGCCATTCTTTCCTGTATTTTTGCAGATGTCACAAGAATGGAAATGAGTAATTTAGAAGCCGCATCTTTCGACCTGACTTTGTGTGACTTTGTATTGAAGTTCTTTGCATGCCTTTACACATTTGCAAGATCTTTGCAAGATATTTGTAAGATCTTTGTAAGATACGTTGGCAGATGCTTGAACTTTTCTTGTATATCCTTGCACAGCTTTGGGAGACACTTCGGTGCTTTGCCCTGGACCCGAAGCTGAGAAAAGCTCAGCGTCGGCTAGTCGCCAGAACTTGATCGGTGCGGTCAAAACTGTGCAACATAGCGGGGAAATCCGGGGAAACGGGATTTGTACATGGATAAAATCAGGACGCACTGTACCACTGCACAACTGTACAATATCACACAATTTGGACAGATAAAGAAGTAGACACGTGTAACACATCACATTCGGAGCCACGTGAATTCGTATGGCTTCTATCTATAGTACCAATTTGAGTATGATAGATGTCACAAGATGCTACAGGTGTCAGCGTCAAAGGCCTCGTTGAGCACATGCAAGGCTTGGGAAAGGTTGGGAGCATCGAATTCTTGACGCCATTTGACGCCAAGATCCGAACGACATTCGGACATGTTTGTCGTATCAGTCGTTGGCTTTGGTTTTTCATTTGGTTTTTCGTTGCACGTTGTTAATGTTTTGATATGTTTTGTTCATTTTTTTCAAATTCGTTAAGTTCAGCACGTGCAAAGCAGTCCTGGACGCTTCGACTCTGGTCACCACTCTCTGCTTATTGGCTCATTTTTGAAAAGGAACCATCAGCTCCATTTCCCAACGCATTCGACGCGTAGCTATGTTTTCAATGTTGACCAGCATGATCAAATTACGGATGCCACTAGTGACACATATTGCCACATATTGTCATATAGTGCCCCAAAGTGCCACAGAGTGCCACTAGTGAACCTGCTGCGCAGCATACTGTGTGATTTGATGACAAGGTGCATCAGGATGCTTAAGACTGAACACTGTATGCCGCATCCCTTGTCCCATCAAGGCTTTCATTTTTTTGCCTAGCCGCTGCTATCCTAAAATGGACGGGTCAGCTATGCGATGGCAGAGCCTTTTGCGGGACTTAGAGAAGGAGACAGCAACTTTGGAAAATCTCAATCCTTTGGTCCTTTGGTACTCTGAAGCAGATGCATTCTGGCATATTCTATAGATTTCTATAGCATATTAATTCTAAGATAGTCTTCAAAGATGTACAAAGATCGTCAAACCACTTTAAGGAGTCAACCGATTCGAAAGCTACATGTCGACGTGTTGCTTCAGAGTGTTTCAGACGTTGTGCAGGAGTTGGAGCAAATGAATACCACCCTCCGGTCCTTAGTCCCTTGCCTCAAACTGCTCAAACGCCTCAAATGAAAGTTGCCAATATTTGCTACGGAGCCATGGAATGAAACAGAGAGTGAAAGTATATTTGAAACAGAATGAACGTCCTGAAAGTCAAGTCAAAGGGCAAAGGAGGTGCAGATTTGTTGAAGCATGTGGAAGAAGATACTGATTCTGGACATCAAATTCACCTAGAGAGCAACTGGCATCGTATTAAAGTAGTTTTTCGATGTAATATGATTGGATTAAATATCCATTGCTGGCAGCGAAGAACAGCATCAGAGGGCCTCTGAAGGACTTCACACTTTATCATACTTTTCAAGCGAATTTACGATGTTTCAATTAGTCTTCTGATTTTACCAGTTGAAGTCTTTCATCAAAATTGATTTCATACCTTGGCAACTCTATCATTTATGGATATTCATGTTTTTGACGGGATTTTGTCAGGAAATCGACAATCTCCGCATGCGGGAAGTCGTGCAAGCCCGACCACGGCTAGAATTATCGCGACCTTTGTCGACACGGCCGTGTTTGGACCCGATCTCTGTGTCCCAATCCCTGGACCTCAAGGGAACTCCGGCACAGCAAAGCTGGTCACCTTGGCAGCACTGCCGCACCATGCACCATGGCACTACGAAGTTATTCAATGAATTTTAATGAGATGCCACTTTAAAATACTTTACATATCTTTACTTTATGCATTTCATCGCATTTCTATGCGACTATGCCCAGTGACAATTCTCCGCTATTTCCGAAGTGATTTGTTTATCAATGTTTTCCTATATTTTTCTTCATACAAGCTATACAAGCTGTAGTATCTCATTTCTGGAAACCCATTTGTCGCGCGTTGGATCGCGTTGGTATTTCTGTGTTTCAGTGCAGATTGATCCGATTTCCGCGCTTCGGCCGTTTCCACAGAGGTCTTTGGCACTTTCCTCGGTCCCCATGAAGAAGGCCGACGTGCCGATGTCACAGTCTCAAGAATATAACTCATATCATCTCATTGAATCCTATTCATTTCCTATTCAACATTCTTTCATATTGTTTTTCACATGTTTTTTAATATTCTTTCTCTTGTCAGGTGTTACAGTATGCAAACGTTTTTGTGTAGAATGGACAAACGCCAAAGAAATCTGATATAATTCATATATAAACAGCATAAAACGGTATAAGCATTAAAAATCACCGGATGGTTCGCTGCCTTGCCGTTGAGGAGGCCTTCGCACGAAGGACCAGTGGGTCATCGCCATCTCGGTCCATCCTTAAGAGTGTGTCCTTTCACGACAGAACGCACGGCGATGGAAGCGAAGTGTCCGACATCAAGAGCCTTGACGGCCTCGACGGCCTCGACAGCGACACAATGACCAGTGAAGGGAAGGCCCAGAAGGCCGCCAAAACGACCAAGGGCCAAGCTAGTCCAAGCTTCTCAATCTAGTTAATTAAAGTATATCAATGTATATCAATGTATTATCAAGGTTCAGTGAGAACACGGAAGACAGCCAAAATAAACCAAGATGGAGATGGACATCTAAGATTTGATTTTGGAAGGCTGGAGTCTACCATGGCAATATGAATTATTTTTTGCCGTCTCAATTTTGTCGAAACGGTTCTTTTCTCATTGCTGAACCGTACTGACTTTTGGAAGGCAAGGAATTTCTTTCTAACCCGAAGAGGTGCATTTGTTACACCTGGCATCTTGACGATTGTTGACGTGCGAGAGGCTCCTGTGCGAGGAATTTTGAAAAAGAACAGCACCTATGGAGTCTTGTCAAAATTCAATTCGGCCCATGTTCGGTGCCATCTGTAGTCGATTCCTTCCATCTCGACTGTCACACTTTCTCTCCAAAAAATGTGATGACCAACTTGAACACTCCAAGAACGATCCAACTTTTGACTGTGGGGCAAAGGGAGAACTTAACATGATACTTGACATGATGCGCAACTGTGCAAACTGTGCAAATACTGTGCAAATATGTGTATACTGAAACGATGAAACGATGCCTGAAACGATGCCTGTGGCTCTGGAAGCTCTGGAAGCTCAGGAGTTTCAATTTCGCCTGAGGGACCTGCTGGACCTGCTCGCTCTACTAACTCTAATACTGTCATAGGGAAGGCCTGGCATCTGTCAATCTAGCCGGCCATGCGATGTCAGGCTGAAAAATGAGCCATTGATTGTGTCAGTTGTGTCATTGGTATTCGTCGGTTGTGTTAGGCTTTGTCTCCTTTGTCTCCGGTTCATGATTCAGGAAACAATTTGTAACTCAATCATACTCAATCAATACAATTGCAACAAATTTGAGGACCATGCTCTTTTGGATTCTTTTGGACAAGATTGAATATCTGTGCTGACGAGTGAACAGACGCTGTGCAGGCTTTGGGTGTAAAACAACTGGTCTTTTCTTCAGTTCTCGAATCTTTTGCACAAAATTCTTTCCCGACTTTGTGATCTTGCACCTCCAAATGTCGTCTGCTGTGCTCCTTTTCAAGCCAAGTCCCCGACCCAGACACTGGACCTGCGCAGGGCAAAAGCTCGGACCCAACGGCTTCTCGATTGTCCAAGGAGGAAGCAGCTGCTCTGAGGGAACAGATCTGAACAGTACATGTGAATACGTGTCAGAACATTTGATAGAGGACATCAGAGGGAAATCATATCTACTTAGCGTGCTTCGACGGCACGTTTCTAACAAGACCTAAGCATACCTGAGCAATCTGTGCGCAGCATCCCTGCAAGTTTGTCAAATTTGTACCAAGTACATCCAAGTACATCCAAGTACATCCTAGCAATTCGTAACGCATCTTAGTACAGACGTGCAAACTATGCACCATAGACATGCACTGGATGTTCGATTTCAAGACACCCCGAGTTCTTTCAAGGCTCAGAGTTGCGCAATATGTTGTACTGCAATGGCACGTTGTCTACAAGTCATGTCCAGGACAAAGGGGGGTTTGCCATTCTGCGGGGACAGAAAACGAAAGTGTTCATGATGCAAAAGCCATGGTGACTTGGCGGAAGAGTTTCAACTTTCAACAATGTGTGGCAAGCGACAATGATCGAACCAGGCATGCACAACGCACACATTAACTGATATATTACCTGTATCTGATTATATCTGACTTATATTAATTGATAATACATCAACACTATGATGGCCAAAGCTTCGTCTTCAGCTATGTTGCCAGAAGAAAAATGAAGATTCCAACTCCAACCATGAAAAGTGGTCAATTGCCAAGAACATCACAAAATTAGCCAAGCGATTTCTAGACCAACTTGGAACGTGAACCGGTGAACCTGCCGACCTCACAAAGCAAGGTCAAGCTGGTCAAACCCGACAGAATGCCCCCTATAGGATGCCTATCTATGCCTATCTATGCCTATCTATGGCTGCAACCGGTACTGTCTATCTCAGATTATCTCAGATTATCTCAGGTACGTGATCAATCCTGACAGTACCCTCGCAGCCACCGTGTGGCAGTGCATCACCTCAGCGGCCCTGATTTGGATCGCGTTAGTAACACCGCTGCAGGTGGGCCACATTTTGGCTGGGAATTTGTTGAATTTGTTCCACTGATATCTTGGGATCTCAATATATGTCAATTCATTTAACAAGTTTAACAAATACTTTTTTTTTCCGGATGGAAACATGCTGAAATTGAAATGATTGAAACATGCAACGGAGCTTTACTAAGCTGGAAGCTATGGTGGATTTGAGCTATGGATTGCTGATAGATGTCTGCTATTGTTTCCTATTTGTGCTGTGGATTTGTTTCACGCTTTGGTCAGTTTGAGTTTGTGTTGGGAACCAGCGAGCTGCGCCAGGTGGGTCTTTTGAAGATGGAAGTTGATTGGGTCTTCGTGACAAGTGTTGGCCTTTTGACTGCAGCTGCGTGACGTGATCCATTGGTAGGTCTTGATCTTGTCTAATGATGTCTTCTGATGTCTTCTTACCTTCTGTCATCGCAGCCCTTTTCTGGATGATCATGATGAGACGGTATCAGATGCGATAAGTTACGAACGAGCGAACGAACGAACGAACGAACGAACGAACGTACCTACCTACCTACCTACCTACCTGAGCTACAGCCAAAATTTACCACAATGGAAAGTAGTATTCGAGACTTTTTTTTTTGAAATTTAGCTGGGGCTTGGAAAACGATAATATACTCTTCAAAAAAGAGATAACATTTGCTATATTCCCAAAACCTGAAAAACGATATTACACTCTTTGAAAATTGATGACTTGGAGCTACATGGCCCACTACCTACTACTACTACTACCTATTACTACCTATTACTACCTATTACTACCTATTACTACCTACCACGACCGACTACTACCTACTACTGCCACCTACTACTACCTACCTACTCCTACCCCACCTACTCCTACCTACTCCTACCTACTCCTACCTACTCCTGCCTACTCCTACCTACTCCTACCTACTCCTACCTACTCCTGCCTACTCCTACCTACTCCTACCTTCCTACTCCTACCTACTCCTACCTACTCCTGCCTACTCCTACCTACTCCTACCTTCCTACTCCTACCTACCTACTCCTACCTACTCCTACCTACCTCCTACCTACCTACTCATACCCACCTACTCCTACCTACTACCTACTCCTACCTACTCCTGCCTACTCCTACCTACTCCTACCTTCCTACTCCTACCTACCTACTCCTACCTACCTCCTCCTACCTACCTACTCATACCCACCTACTCCTACCTACTCCTACCTACTCCTACCTACTCCTACCTACTCCTACCTACTCCTGCCTACTCCTACCTACTCCTACCTTCCTACTCCTACCTACCTACCTACTCCTACCTACCTACTCCTACCTACCTCCTCCTACCTACCTACTCATACCCACCTACTCCTACCTACTCCTACCTACTCCTACCTACTCCTGCCTACTAATACCTACTCCTACCTACTCCTGCCTACTCCTACCTACTCCTACCTACTACCTACTCCTACCTACACTACTGCTACTACTATTACTACTACTACAACAACAACAACTACTACTACTACTGCTACTACTACCACTACGACGACGACTACGACTACGACTGCACGACTACTACTACTACTACCACTACTACTGCTGCTCCTACTACTACTACTACTACTACTACTACTCCTATTTACTACTACCAATAGTACCGCACAAGGTGGTGGCGGAAGTTTCAAAAATAGGAAACCTATAGGAGAGGTTGTTTGTTGTGAATCATGGATGGCCGATCGAATCCACTGATGGACCGACAGGTGGTTGGAGTTGTGTTTCTTGGAGTGGTTGCAAAATGGTTGCAGTGGTCACCTTACCACAACTGCTGGATGCAGTGTGGTGTAGTGCAGTTGCAGTTGTAGTTGCAGTTGTAGCTGTAGTTGTAGTGTAGTGCAGTGTAGGGTAGGGTAGTGTAGTGTAATGTAGTGGTAGTTGTAGTTGTAGTTGTAGTTGCAGCTGCAGTTGTAATGTAATGCAATGTAATCAGTGCAGCGTAGTGTTGTGTAAGGTAGTGTGGTTGTAGTTGTAGTTGTATTTGTAGTTGTAGTGTGCTGCAGTGTAATTAGAGTAGTGCAGGGTAGTTGTAATTGTAGTTGTAGTTGTGGTAGTAGTAGTTGTTGTAGTTGTTAGTGTAATTGGTGTAGTGTAGTGTTGTCGAAGGAAGTTTAGAAGTCAAACTTCCGACAATATGGACAGATGAAAAGCAGAGCAGCGAAGAGGCAGAGAGAAGAGAAAGATTAGAAGAAAGAAGAGTAGAAGAGAAAGAGTAAGAAGAAAGAAGATGCAGATGCGTGAAAAGGTAGGAAAGTCGCGAAACACTGTGTTTTTCCAATGATTTGTGGTTCAGGAGGGTCGAAAAGTAGGCTCTTAGGATTTTTGCCACATGTATGCCTTGTACGATATATACCTACGTATACGCCGTCTTCATTATTCGGCGCAAATCAGATAAATCATATGTGTAGTAGTGCAAATTGTGTTTTGCCCGCTCAGTTGTCGATGCAATCTTCTTCATTGACATGCTGCTGCAGTTTTGCACCACTTACGCGCGGAGAACTCCCAGAGGCACTGGCACTGTTGTTCTGAGTCTTCTCCGGCAGCATCAAATCCTCTTCATCTTCCGCTGGGTTGTAGACTGGTTGCTGTATATACGCTGTGCCTAATCTTGTATAACCTTTTGTATTCTTTGCATGTACTTGGTGTGCCAGAAGTAATCGTAGTATAGTTTGAGTACAATTTCGTAAATCTTAGTACATCTTAAACATCTTAAGTACATAGTATATTTCGATTCTATCGTAATTATATGTTAAATATGTGTCAGTGCATCTTAAATATACCTTAAATCTGAAGTGTATCTTAAAATATACCTTAAATCTGAAGTGTATCTTAAACATATTTTTTAAATACAAATTTAGTATATCTTGATCGTATTGTAATTATATGTTTGAGTATGTCTTTGTACACCTTATGTGTATCTTAAGTGTATCTCGAACATATCTTAAGTGCAAATCGGTATATCTTGACCATGTCTTAATTAAATAGGACAGCACCTGTGCTGACTAACAAGGAAAGACGCATGATTTGAAGGGATGGAGGGTGGGCAATGCCATTTTGGCTCAAGCTGACACTCAGTGGGGAATGAAATTTTCAGAGCATGCTGCCCAGTCGCAAGTAGCATGGCTGCGCGGCCCGGCCTGCTCGACCACTTCAACGTCCAAGACGAGATTTGGAGAGCGTTGCACGGCAGGTTGGAAGTCCCGGCTCAGATCTTCGAATCTTAGCATCCTTGCCAAAGATAGCCCGTGTGACTGGCGGTGGCAATGCGACGGCGCCGAATGGACCCTACAGTTCCATGGAAGCTACTCAGGTCGGGCTAGTGTGGCGCCTGGCCAGACGGGTGGTTGCAGCTCATTCAGATGTTACGGAAGAGAACTTTGTGGACATCGATCCATGGCAGGAACAGCCATCCGGAGACACAGAAACTCAAGGGCAACAGCAGCCTCAGACGCAAGGCAACAGCAGTGGAGTCAAAGAGCGAGTGTTGAAGATGAACGCATTGATAGATCAACATGATGACTCCGAACTTCTTCCACCGAACCCCATGGAGGTGGATAAGTGGTATCAAAACTACATAGCGATCATGGGATCACAGCCAGACGAGACAGAGGAGCCCACGGCAAACCAACTGGCGGCACTTCGCAAAAAGATCTTCATAGACATTGATGGCAGCAGATGTGCCCCAAATTTGTGCCGAAGACGCCGCAGACGCCGAAGACGCCGAAGATGCCCGAAGACGCCCGAAGACGCCCGAAGACGCCCGAAGACGCCCGAAGACGCCGAAGACGCCCGAAGACGCCGAAGACGCCCGAAGACGCCCGAAGACGCCCGGAGACGCCCGAAGACGCCCGAAGACGCCCAAGACGCCCGAAGATGCCGAAGACGCCGCAGGGTTCCGAACAGGAGTTTTAGAAACTAACTCCAGTTTTCATTTGTGTTGTTTTACTCCGACCATGTCCGACCAACCCAAAAATTGTCATTTTGATTTATCTTGAGCCATGTTTCATTTACCTCCCTCGACCCTACAACACAACACGTTCAACATATGAAGCAAGTTGGCCTGTCGAGTCATTCTGATAGTCATTCTTATAGATTTAGTTCCTCGTCCACACAAAACACTATGTTCAACATATGAACCAACTTGGCATCTTGAGTCATGTTTGAAATGTCTTTTCCTTCCCCTACAACAAGACAATACGTTGAACAGATGAAGAAAGTTGGCATCTTGAGTCAAGTTTGAAATTTGCAACTCGCCGACCCTACAATGCAATACGTTCAAAGTATGAAGAAAGTTGACATGTGGAGTCCTTTTTTGAAATTTGTCCCCCCTGGACCCAACCAAGCAAAATATATATATATACATTCTGGCCCCTACAAAACACTACATTCAACATCGTTCAGCATGAACAAGCCATCTCGAGCCATGTTTAACATGCCCCTTCCCTACCTTTGCATACGTTGAATATATGAACAAAGTAGAAATGACACGTCATCTTTATATTTTGAACTCCTCTCCTTCCCCTGAAAAACAATACCTCGAACAAACCAAACAATGGGCTTCCTGAGTCAGTTTCGAAATTTACAATTCCGTGACCCTACAATGCAATACCTTGAACATGTGATCATAGTTGGCATTTTGAGTCATTGTTGTGATTTCTTTCCCTTCCCCCTGCCCTGTACAAACTGCTACGTTCAACATATGACCCAACTTGGCATCTTGAGTCATTTTTGAAATTTACCCCCTCGACCTTTCAATATGTTGACCAAATGAAGTAAATTGACATGTCGAGTCGGAGTCATCAAGATTTTTTGCGCTTCCGACGTTACAAAACAATAAATATGTTGAACCAACGAAATTGTCATCTCAAGTCATTTCTAAAATTTACCCGCCCCTCGATCCTACAAGGCAATACATTCAACATATTCAACCACCCTGGCATCTTGAGTCATGTTTAAAATGTTCTTTCCCTCCCCTGCATATTATTGCCTTTAATATTGAACACATTATGTCATTTTTTTTTGCACCCCCAAACCCCCTCAAAAAAAACATGTGAAAGAAGAACAAAACTTCTATCTTGAGTTCTTTTCCCCACCTGCCAGGTGAGGCTTTCTAGATTTTAACAAAGGTGCGACTCCTTCCTCTTCTTCCTCTTCTTCCTCTTCTTCCTCTTCTTCCTCTTCTTCCTCTTCTTCCTCTTCTTCCTCTTCTTCCTCTTCTTCCTCTTCTTCCTCTTCTTCCTCTTCTTCCTCTTCTTCCTCTCTTTCTTCCTCTTCTTCCTCTCCTTCTTCCTCTGCCTCTCCTTCTTCCTCTCCTTCTCTCCTTCTCTTCTTCCTCGCCAGCTGTGGATGCTGTGGAGCGCGCCTCGACCTGAGCCATGCCGCGAGATCAGGATGCCTGGATCCGACAGCCATATCGCGCGCTCAGGAGGCTGTGGAGCGCGCCTGGACCCGAACAAACAGAATGGCAGAATATATGTCAGATACAATGCCAGAAAGAATGTCAGATAGAATGTCAGAATATAGTTGCCATAAATACTTCCAGCTGGTATGTCGAAACTATGTCAGAACATACAGCGCGAAAGAATGGGAATAAATTTACCTTCCCTCAGCCCTGCAAAGCAATAGATTCAACATATATTATATGAACAGTTGACACATTTAGTCAATGTTTTGTAGATTTTCAAATACATCCCCTACAAGGCAATACGTTCAACATAAAAACGAACTGGGCATCTTGGAATCATTTTGAACGTGTCCTTTCCTTCCTCACAAAACAGCACGTTGAATTTATGAACAAAGTCAAAAGTGTTGATTAATTTTCACATATTTCAGCCCCCCTACCCTACCCTACAAAACAACAAGCTGAACAGACGACGAAAATTGAGATTTTGAGTCAATTTTGCGATTCCACCCATCGACCCTACCAGGTAAGATGTTGAATTTATGGAGAAAGTTGACTGGCTGAGTTCTTCTGATCGGTTTACCTCATCAAAACACTACGCTTAACATAGTTCAACATATGAACCAACGTAGCATCTTGAGTTACGTTTAAAATACCTTTTCCTCCCTTGCAAAGCAACACGTTGACTATGAACACAGATGAAGGGTTAAGTCAGTGTATTTTTTATCCCTCTCCTCACCACAAAACAATATGAATGTTGAACACATGAAACAAATTGAGATCTTGAGTCAGTTTTGAAATTTATTCCCCCATGAACTTACCATGAAGTTGACACGTTGAGTCGGGTCATTGCTACAAACTTGCCCGCCTGTCCCCTTCAAAACACTACGTCCGTTCAACATTAGAGCTAACTTGGCATCTCGAGTCGTGAGAAAAGATCCACCCTCCCCCGCAAAAACAATATCTTGAACACATGAGGGCAATTCTCAGCTTGAGTCATTTCTCAATTTACCCACTTTTCAATTTACTCCCCATTTTTCGGTCCTTCAAAGCAATATGTTCAAAAATGGAAGAACGTTGACATGTGGAGTCGTTGTTGCAAATTTACCCCCCATCGACCCTACAAAACAATACGTTCATTGTATGCGGAAAGTTACCACGTGGTGCGATTTTGAAAATTTACCACCCCCTCGAACCTTCAAAACCATACGGTCGATTCAACATATGAAGAAAGTTGACATGTTGAGTCATTGCTATAGATTTATCTTCCGGCCCCCTACAAAACACTTTGTTTAACATATGAACCAACATGGCATCCTGAGTCATGTTTGAAATGTCTTTTCCTTCCCCTACAACAAAGCAAGACGTTGAACGAACAAAATTGGAACCTCGAGTCATGTTTGGAATTTACGCCCACTGGACCCTACAAATCAATACATTCAACATATGGATCAAGTTGACATGTTGGTTCATTCTTTTGGATTTACCTGCCCTGTCCCCTGCAAAACATTATGTTTAACGTATGAATCAGCATGGCATCTTGACTTATGTTAAGATGTTCCTTGCCTTCCCGTGCAACAAGACAATACGTTGAACACATGGAAAGAAAGGCATCTCGAGTCATTTTTGAAATTTACAGCCCCTCGACCCTACAAAGCAATACGTTAAAAGAACGGTGAAAGTTGACACGTCGAGGCATTTTTAAAATTTAGCCCCCCTCGACCCTACATACACAGCAAACGGTTGAACAAGTGCAGAAAGTTGACATGTGGGGTTGTTTTTGAAATTTAAAAACTTTCGTTGACTCCACAAAGCAGTACCTGTAATATATCAACAAAGTTGACAGGTTGAGTCGTTGTTTTGAAGTTTTGAATGTACTCCCCCCATCTCCCCCATCCCTTTTAAAACGCTACGCTCAACATATCAACCAATTTGGAATCTTGAGTCGTTGTTATGTTTTTCCCCCGCTGTACCCTACAAAATCACTACGTTCAACATATAGAACAACTTGGCATCATGAACCATGTTTAAGGTCTCTTTTTCTTCCCCTGGAAATTATTATGTTGAATGTATTGAAATGTAATCATTCTTGTATTCGTTAATTCCTTCCCCTGCAGCAAGCCAATATGTTGAACATGTGAAGAACATTGGCATCTTGAGCCATTTTTGAAATTTATCTCCCTCGACCTTGCAAAACAATAGGTTTAGCATATGAGTCAGTCATTGTTATAGATTTAACCCCTTCCACCTCACAAAGCAATACGCTCATCAGAAAATGTGGGGTAAATTTTTGAAATTTCCCGCCCATCCACCCTACAAACCAATACGTTCAAGACACGAACAAAGGTCAGAGACAGGGGCGTCAAAACGGACAAAGATCTCCTGTGGCAGTCGTGTGGGATCGTTAGAGGTCGTAGGGGTCGTCGCGGGTCGTCGGGGTCGTCTGGGGTCGTGAGGATCGTCAGCGGTCGTCAGGGCCGCGTCAGGGTCGTCAGGGGTCATCAGGGGTCGTAAGGGGTCGTAAGGGGTCGTCAGGGTCGTCAGGGTCGTCGGCAGACTTTAGATCGAGGTCGTCAGGGTCGTCAGCTGAAATTGGGCAACTGTTGTTGCCATCTTTGTTCATAGAGAACAGACCACCATACTGCGATTTCTCAGCATGGGTTCCCATGGGAATGAGCAGAGTCCAAAAATGTCGAGTCTTTACCCCCTTAGGGGATGGGATTTTCTCCAGAAGGACTTGCCGGGTCCGGGGTTGCATGCTGCATGGAAAGCATCATGGAATGTTTTTAAAACAGCCTGCTTGATGCTCAATGTATGCTCAATCGCATCTTTAGAAGCATACTCACGCCAGCTCATGGTGCAGTGGCTCAGATGTTGGAGGTTGATATACACTGCTGATGATGCAGGTCGTGCTGAGCGCTTAGAGAAACTTCAAAGACGATTCACCATTGAGTCTGGCCAAGGGAGACAGGTGCGTCGAGATTGGGATCCTCTTTGGCCGTGGTCATGCATCTTCATCCAGCTGGCTGCAGACATGGAGTACTGCGTCGGAAAGGGTGCATCATTCAGCAGCTGGATGGATAGCGGCTGGAGGGCGTGGTGCTCCAACGGTGGCATTGAAGGCAGCGGTCCTGGACACGATTCAAGGGGGCCACAAAGCGCTTCAAGCCGAACATGAACCGGCTGGGCAAAGCGGAAATGGTCGAAGAACACAGGCCAACAGAGACAGACGGCAGACGAAGAAGCGCAGGCTTCAAGCAGACCGGGAAGAGTTAGCGAGGCACAGATCGTCGAGTACAAATCAAGAGAAAAGCGGCCCTTCTCCAAAGGGAAAGGGAAGGGAAAGTCAAAGGACCAATCGGGCCAAGAGATATGCTTCAGCTGGCCTTCGGGAAGGGGAACGTGCTCAGACGTCCCACCTGGAGGTGAATGCAGGGGAGCCGTCAAAAGAGTGCGCAGATGCAGATTGTGCCTGTCACCGTCTCACAAGGAGTCAGATTGCAGGGCAGCCTGAACGCAAGACCCTGAAGTGCTGGCCTCGGTGTGAAAATTGTGAGACGGAGGGAAATGCAGCGTCGTTTCACATTTCATTTGATGTCAGGTCCACAGATCTCAAAGTTCAGTTTTGCTGGATTCCAGTTGCAAGAGCTGTGCATTTCATTTTGCTTGGAGACGTCTTGCTCTATTTTCAAACGGATGTCACTTGACTTAACACAACGACAAACGAACAACTTCTCAACGTTTGCAACCTGGAGTGCCGTGCGTTTGACAACAAAATGAAATTGCAGCATCTGGCAAGCCGTTCGGGCCCAAGCATCTTCCCCCTTTGCCGCATGGCAGAGTGTGCAGGGAGACAGATGTATGACAAGATTGACCAATCCATTGAGAAGGGGGAGTGGGATGGTTTCCACAGCGGTTTCCCATGCGGGGGCTTCTCACGAGTGAGATGGAGGGAGACAGAAGGAGGACCTCCACCTGTGCGAAGCGCCGCGCATATCTATGGGCTGCCAGGCAACACAAGGCAGCAACAAAAGGAGGCCGACGACGGCACCCTGATGGCCACTAGTTCAGCATGGCTGCACCGAAAGCAGGTGAGAAGCTTCAGGCTGAGGGCAGTTCCAGAAGTTTCCACACTGGAAAATCCGCCTGGAGGTGTCAATGCAGGATCTGCACGGGACTTGCCGGAGAGGAAGCAGGTGCTGGAGGAGACAAACTCCTCCATCGCGGAGTTCAACACCTGCGCGTATCAGACCCACCTCAAGAGAAGATGATTTAAGTCGGCCAAGTGGGCGGGCAAGTTGGAATCTTTGCCAACCCTGGCAAAGGTATGCGGATTCTCGGAGCGGGTAGTGCATGTGCCACTGCTGGGAAAGAATGCAGCAGAAGCCGCGGGAGAATATCCAGAAGAGCTCACGGACATCATAGCCACCAAGGTTGTATAGACACATGGAAGAGGATACTGAACCTGGAATGGTTGCGACGCAACGGTTGCGACACCAGATGACCAGGAAGTCCAGCGAGATAAACGAGCTCCAGGTGCAGTGGCCGCGCAACGAGGACAAAAGAAGAAAGCGTATGTATGGAGAGACAGCACCAAGGGTGGCAGACAGCATAGCACAGGAGAAGAAGACACAAAGGACATCTTCTAAATTAAAGCCCTGGAAGCCAACGAGGAGGAGAAGGAAGCGATGGCGTCTTCCTCAACAAGGCCTTCCAGGAAGAAGACAAGAGAAGAGCAAAACGACTCTGCCATCGAAGGGATGAGAAACCTAGCCATATCCAAATTACATCAGGTCAAGGAAGTTGGAGAAGAAATCAACAAGGCCTGGATGTCTTTCATCTCAGAACACCCGTTGCAGCAAACTATGGGTCAAGCGAGGCAAAGTTCGACGACAGCGTCCTGCAAGCATGGTCCAGAAGAATGGAGGACCTGGTGGAGATACAGGAGCAAGACGGCGTCACACTCCAAGACAACACGGAGTTCAAATCTCCGATGCGAGCGGCCATGTGGGATGCTTGGTGGATGAAGGCAAGGGACCCAAAGCAATTCCTGGGTCGATGGGCCAGGGAAGGGGCACCTCTTGGCATCGCCAAGCTCATCCCGGACTCAGGCATATTTCCACAAGTAGAGCTTGATGAATCACTGGAAGAAAAGACAGACATGTCAGTGCTGGTGGACTTGAGGAACTATGAGCCAGCAGAGTCGCAGAAAAGCGAGGCGGCAATCGAAATAGAGAGGTACGTCAAGAAGGGCTTCTGCAAGATCCTCCCTCTGGACCAAATCCATGAGAAGTACCTGGCAGTGACTGCTAGCCGCTTAGCCCTCATACTCAAACAAAAACCAGATGGATCCACGAAGAGGTGCATCGTGATAGACATGAAACGGTCACAAGGGAACTCAAGAGCCACGGTGAGCGAGAGGATCGTTTTGCCGAGGTGCCAAGACGTGGTACAGAGCCTAAGAGTCATGCGCGAGAAGGAGTCGGAGCTGCCCGGGGGGGAGGTCAAAGATCGGCGTTGAAAACGTCAAGGAAGTATAAAGCAGCGGAGACGCCCTCATTGACCTGCAGGATGCGTTTGCCACTTTGGCCGGTAGAGAATATAAAGCTCACCCTGGCAGACTGGAAGAACAAGGGCATGATCCCCACGAAGGAACTTAGGTCCTTTGTGGGGCGACTCTCATGGGTGGCCGGCACCATCCCGCGACTCAGGTGGGCCGTGACCACCATTTACGCAGTGTTGACGGCCGCAATCAAGGAAGAAGCAACAGAAGTGGAATTTGGCACAAAAGAGAGTGGGAGACAAGAGGCCAAAGATTGGCCTGGTGGCAGTCAAGAGACTTGGCACGGTATTCCCTTGGCTCCGTGCGATGTTCCAGACACCGGACCTGCTGATCAGAAGAGAGCTTTCAGGAGAAGGAAGCAGTGTGGGGTGTGGTTACAGACGCCTCACCCACAAGTGGGAGGCACTTGGCACCCAGTGGAAGCTTTTCAATCCCTTTTGCAAGAGCACAAGGCAGCGGCGCAGGAGATTGAGTACGGCGAGGCATCCAGTCAAGCCGTGATGGAAGGCTTGGCCATCTTCAGAGCATTGCAACTGTGGTCGACGAAAACCCAGGGAGGTCCAGTAGTGATCCGATAAGATAGCTCGGTGGCGCTGGCGGTGGAAAAGAAGCTATCATCACTAAACCGCATCTTGAACCACCTGGCCTCCGAGATAGCGTTGACCATGGAGAAGCAGAAATGGGCCGTTTGATCCCGCAGCATTGGCTGTCAAGGCCACATAAAGAGGTGAAATGCCCACCGTGCTGCAAACGGTCAAGTTACAGCGCGCAACAGCGCTGTCAAAGAGGAGCATGGGCACGCCAGCGCCAGGATCTGAGGGCAGCCCTTGAACGGCAAATTTGCCTCATCCGAGCACAAGTTTCCCAGACACGCTAACTGCTCCCAGCCGGCAAAACATAGACTGTCACGGAACGGGCCAGGGCGACAGAAGCCTGGGAGGGCAACTTTACTTGGGGGGTTCGTTTCACATGTGAATCCAGTGTAAAGTTGCCTCATGAGTCACGTTTTCATGTTTGCACACAGGCACATATCATGTGAGGCAGTGCTGGGCTCAAACATGGAGCTGGTAGCAGCGCCCCAGCTCCCAGCGCCAGTAGTTCTGGACGCACCGGCCGGTCAGCGAGCGGCATGGCTGGTGGAGCGGGAATGGTCTTTCAAGCATGTGTGCTGCGGGGTGGGCAGCAAAATTTTGAAGAGGGCATGCGAGGCCAACTCCTATATAGAGCTGCTGGCATTTCCCCAAGATGGAAGTTACATACAAATCAAGCGACTCCACCCAGAATGCTAAGATGGGACTCCTACATCTACAGAGCCGAAGTCCCCCGACTACCCCAGTTTGACAGGGATGCTGCGAGCACCAGAGCCCACAGCGGTGCGAACAACCAGATCACGGCGGGTCCATCCTTATGGGGTCCGGCTGCGGAAAGGGCGAACCGAGCATCGGCATTGTCAAACGTACCAAGGTGCAGACGGCAGGGGAACAGAACAAGCGGAGGAGGATCCTCAGCCCTGAACGCAATGATGGCAGCAGCGAGCCCAAGAAGATAGAAAGCGATGGCAGGGTCAACCCCAAGCACCTGGGAAAGATGGCAAAAGATAGAACTTGGGCGGCGAAGGTGAGAAAGGGCTTCGTGGGAAAGTTTTGCGCAGCCCCCACTCTAACAACGAAGAACGCCAAAAGAAAGAAGGTCACAGAGATCTTGGACTGCGTGGGACGGCATGGGAAGAGGACATCTCCCCTTGACACCTGAGAAGCTCACAAGGTTGGCAGCAATATTGGATGCTTCCGGAATGAGGGCAGGAGACCAGTATCTCACGGAAGCAAAAGCGATGCATATTGAAGAAGGATTTGGTTGGGAAGTAGGCCTGGATAGACAACTTTCAACGTGCACAAGAGCAATGCAGCGAGATAAAGGTCCTGAACTACGCGCCAACGAGGTCAAACTGAAGGACATCAAAGAAGAAGCCTGAGATGCCACAATCAACGCAGAAGGAGAACCGGTGAGGACGGCATGGTCATATGCATGGGCAACGCTTTGGATGCTCAGGGCGATAGAGGCGTCTCAAGTCAAAGCGGGGCAAGTCCAAGTTGACTTCGAAAACAAAGTGGTGAAGCTCTACATCGCCAAGTCAAAGACAGACCAAAAGGGTGCAGGTGTGTGGCGCACATTGGGATGCTGCAAACAACAGTGCTGCACTCGCGAGCGCCCCTTGGCCCTAGCAATCAAAGCGACAAACGACCTGAACAACCAAGGAAAAGGACGGCCCACTTTTCCCTGACGATGAAGGGAATCCCGTCTCAAAGGTGCACATGGTGGCAGCGTGGGCGAAACACATCGATGAAAAGGTCACAGGGCATACGGCCAGAAGATCAGGTGCTACGGCGTATGCAAAGGCAGGGAGAAGCATCCACAACATACAGCTTCTTGGAAGGTGGAAGTCGCCTGCAGTCTTCGTGAACATAGAGGACACCATGGCGGAGGTGCCCATGAATACTATGCGAGGAAAAGAGGCAAGCGAGACAAACATCCCGGACGAGAAACACAAGAAAAGAGACTTAAAACCAAAAGCAAAGGCTCAACCGAAGGAGGCAGAGGGCCAGCCTCCAAAACCCGAGGCAAGGCCCTTGGCGAAGGGTCAAGAGAAAGAGAGGTGTACGCAATCTCAGTGTCCAGGGGAACCACCGTGGAGCATCTGGTGGGACAGGCAGCATGGGGAATGTCCAGTTGGGCAACTGTATGTGGATGAAACTTTGCAAGAAAGAAGGTCAAAGTTGAGCTCACAAAGAAACCGGCTTTTGGGGCAACAAGATGCAAACAGTGCCTCAAGATCAAACAGGTGCGCGACGGAGTCAGTAGAGCCAGAGAGTGGGCGCAAGAAATCTGGAAACTGAAAAGGAGACAAACTTCCAAATGGTGAAGCCCAGGTGAGAATGTGATGGATGCATTTCAAAGTAACAGTATGTACAGCCGCCTGCAAACCAAGCAGGCAATCCCGGCCATTCGTCAAAAATGCGCTCTTGGATGGTGGGCCGGGTTTTGAAATCGGAATGTGTCGATGAACGTGTTTGGAAAGCACCTGTGCTGACTAACAAAGAGAGACGAATGATTTGAAGGGATGGAGGGTGGGTCCTCACGAGTGTCAGCAATGCCATTTTGGCTCAAGCTGACATTCAGTGGGGGCTTGAAATTTTCCCACCCGCCCACACGGGTGTCAGCTTTGAACCAAGCCAGAGCCAGAGAGCGGGCGCAAGAAATATGGACATAGAAAAGGAGACAGGGTTCCAAACGGTGAAGACCAGATGAGAATGAGATGGATGGATCTCAAAGTAACAATATGTACAGCTGCCTGCAAACCAGGCAGACAATCCCGGCCATTCATCAAAAATGCGCTCTTGGATGGTGGGCTGGGTTTTGGAACCAAAATGTGCCAACGAACTTGTTATTGAATATTTCTTAGTACATCTTACGTATATCTTAAGCATACGTGTCTTAAGCAAATGTTAGTGTATCAATATTTTGACCGTATATCTCAGTTATATCTTGAGTATGTCTTAGTACATTCTATGCGCAGTTTAAATATATCTTAAGTATAACTCAACTATATCTGAAGTCTTAAGTATATCTCAAGTATATCCTCAGTACGCGTTGAGCGTATCATGTGTATATCTTCACTGTATTTTGAGTGTATCTTGTGTATATCTTCGTCAGTATATGGCTTGGTCATATGTGAGTATTCTTTATACGCAGTAAAAATTTGGTACACTTCAAGGAAGTAGTAAAAATTGGTACACTTCATGATGCTTCATTGTGCTTCTGCTGGGTCTGGTGTGCGCCCTTTCGGCTGGGCCTTGGTGCTTCCGCGGTGTACGGCTGCATGCTGTCTCAGGCTTGTGTTCAAACTCTGAAACCAAAACTCTCGAGATCAACCGAACATGTTTCAGATGCGCATGGTAGTAGTCTGCATTTTCGTGAGACTCTCTCACCTTGAAAACCACTGAGAGATGGAGACAGATACAGAGAGGTAACAGATGCAAGAGGTCGCTTGAAGCCGCTGAAAGCATCTTCAAGGAAGCCCATATTGAGCTTGCACTGAACGACTTCTGTGTCACGATGTCGGCTGTCTTTCGTACCTTTCATCCCGTGGATGAAACGTGTGCCAGGTGATGAATGGGAAGTGCGGATCAGAAAAATCATCGTTCACTATTGCTCGACACCTTGCAGCAACTGGCGATGACAACCTGCAGCATTTTCATGTTTGGAGAAAAATGTATATAAGGTCCTCATCATGTCCTCATCACTTTCCTCAAGCTGTTTTTGAGTCACCTTATCTAATATCCAATGCAGCAAATAGGCAAATAGCATCAAATAGCTGAATTTGTGCAAAGACAGGATTGACAGGGACAATATGGACATAATTCGAATGGGAGATATGGGAGATGGGATCAGCTGATCAGTGTCGATCAATGCCTTCGACGGAGCATTGTCAGGACTTGGTTCGTGCTGGACTTCGTCACGCTGATTCCCTTTGAATTGCTCGCCATGCAGATGGGCGACGCTGCTTTCGAAGAAGCTTGGCACAGGGCCGAGAGCAGCCAAGAGACATTGAGAGAGAAGCAAATAACAGCCATAGATAGCCATAGAACCTCTTCCGTGCGATGGAGCAACCATTGGGTCACAGCGAGAAGCAAATTTTGCGTCGAATTCGGTCAGCGGTGGCCGTCGTCATTTCATGCACAAAAACCATACAGTATTACAGGCTTATGGATTGGAAGACCTTGGTGCAGTTGTCCTGGCTTAGGTTGGCTTGCAAGACCAGTGGAAATAGAGGTACTCCGAGACAGGTGCATTGAGGAGCAATTCCAAGCAGCGAATCACAGCGGGCCGCCGGGCAACATTTCTTGAGCCACGACAGTTGCACAGATTAGTGCGATGTCATCCTTGCGCAAAGGGCCATGCGACCCAGGTTCACGTGCAGTGGCCATGCTAACCTTCTTTCTCTGTATCAAAAGGCAACGAGGTGTTTCAACCTCCAATTCCATCAACATCAAAAAATCCGGGAAAAAAAAGAGGGATCAAAAGTGTGAGGACTCCTTTGTCTTCACATTCCCCCTGGTGCACTTTGCACCGCATGCCCGGCTCTCAGACATCGTAGATCGCGTCTTCGACCAGGTCAAAGCTCCCAGCGGAATGCTCAATTGGATCTGCTGCTCCAGGTCCCTGTCCATCACTTTGGAGAAGGCGGTCAATGGCTTCCCAGAGCGGTCCATTTCATCTTCAGAGGGTGGCGGACACGCGGGATGGCATGTGTTGATGGTGATGCCCGGATTCCATTCAAAGGCGGTTCTTCATGCGCCCTTGGCCACGGAACATTCTGCATCGGATGTTCCCGCTGCATCTGGTCAAAATGGCGGAGGCAAGGCGCTGGTGCGCCACAGCCGGCGACTGCATCACAAAAGGAACATTGGCCGGCGGGTCATGCTCCCTGCTTTCACTCTCAGAGCACTCCAATCCACTCCTCTAGAACGAAGCGAGGCCATCGACCTTGATCGCCTTGTCCAATTACTCCCAAATGACCTTGGTGTCCACGGTCATAGGCTCCCCCAGATCCACGGCCAGGAACTTCAGGAGGTTGTGGACGGGGGGCAGCACTTTGAAATTCTCCAGGCCGCTGAATCTGAAGTCGCACAAAAGTGCAAAATTTCCACTGATCCTCGACGCACAGCTCGCGGAGGATTTGCCCAACGATCCTGGAAAAACTTGTGCGCCCAGCTATCTCCTTCTCACAAAAACATCAGAGTGAACCGCACTGGATGCAGCTCATTGGCATTGAAGGACATTTGCGAGTGGATGGGGTGGAAGGTCTTGGTTCTCCATTGGACATGCGACCCAATCCACCATTCGCCCAGCTGGTTCCACTGTCTGCACCTCTTGGTGGCGACGAGAACTGTTTCAAGGGGAAGAAGTTAAATGCCACCTCACCCCTCTGGAAGTTCAACGCGGCCAAAAGAGAACGTTCACCATCCATGGCAGCGACGCCGCAAGCAAAGCAGGTACCTAAAGAAAACTGAGCGGCCGTGTCCTTCTCTCAGCCGCTGACAGGTTGTGGACACCCAAGGACTCAACTTCGCACTCCAATGTTAGCTAACCGTCCATGGCGCTTGCAGCCAGAAATCAGCTGTTCACCAACCATAGCTGTTGCCGGAACTTGCCAGCCGCGCGATTCGGGAGCCATGTAGGCTATTGTTGACTGAGCTGGATTCATTTTCCCTCACCCCAGGATCTGGTGTCGGCCCTGACACCATGTGGCCAGGGTTCATTTTCCCTCTGGCATCTTTTTTCGACAACGTTTCGAGCTGCCCCTAGCTCTGCCAATCCCCCGCGTTGTCCCTTTGGCCGCGGTGTTCTTGAACCCCTCTGGGCCCACCTTCCGCGCAAGCCAAGCTACCAAGGCTGGCAAGTCCTATACCGCGCTAGCTACCTTAGCCATTTCGCCACTTTGGGCGATGAAGCTATTCAAACCAAGCGCAGCGATTACACTAACAACGGCTCCAACTACTTGTGGTGAAATCTTACTCTCCATTTTGGCCATCCCCATGAAGCTGTAGAACTTCTTCCACGAAGCCACTGCCAGGAACGTGGCGTCCCCTCTAAGCCCCCACTTCATCCTTGCAGACGCAAGTGACGGGTTCTCCAGGGTCCATCTGGGCTCTCAAGAAGTCGGAGACCGGATTGGTTGTCCCCATACACAGCACCATTGTACAACTGGTTCCCATCAGGGATGTCAATCACTGCAGAGACTGACTCCCCCATGACCATGGCATCGGTGTAGCCCAAAAGCTCGGACTCCAACGTTGAAAGTGTCCCAAACGCCTGCTGCGTCCATTCCCATTGAATGGGACAACCTCCATCCATCGCGATCAACCCTTGGTGTCCACGGCCTCCAGCAGGACCAAAAGATGCATCTGAGCGCACCTCCAAGCTGAGCATAGGTCTAGGGAAGGCCAACTCTGAATCTTCCCCATGATCACAATCACAACCACCATAGTGAAGCGCCATGTCCAAGGTGGACTTGAGGTAGCCCAACATGTGCTCGCAGTGCTTGCAAACTCGGCGAGGTGCTCGGGTCAGCATGCGTCCCATCCATGCAACTCCAAACTCAAATCGGGGCGCGTCCGGCACGACAGCCACAAAAGTTCGCCCGCAACACCTTGAGCAGCACGGACATCTTAGATTTTCACATCAACTTCAGATTCTTCATCCAAAACTCCAGGAAAAGGGGTGCTCTTGCAAACCACTCCAGAATGTCGAGAAAGACGGTCTTGTGCATAAGAGCGTTGGCCCAGCAGGATCTGATCACCCTTCTTGGACAACTCAAAGCCACAAAACTTGACCCATGAACCTTCCGTCACAAATTCAGGAGCTGAGCACTTCCACTCCGCCTGGATGCGATCCAAAAAGGGCTGTGACAACATCATGTTCTCCAACAACCGCCATATCATCCACATAGAGCGCCAAAAAACCCAGCGCTTGTCCGTCATCATGGCCACAACTGTCAAAACCTTCCGCAAGTTCGGCTCAGGTGTCGCCAGCAGTTGTAGTCGACACCCATTGCAATCCCACTGGATAGTCTTCAGGACATCTCTGTAGCTGGTCTAATTTGAAGGGCTCGATCTCAAAACCATACATGAAATTCACCACCTCCCACCACTCATCAGGACCAACGATGCCGGCCTCTTGAATGATCTTCGGAGGACACATGGTCAAAAGCTTGGACTCTGCCTCACGTCAAGGGGCAAGTAGAAAAGCTGTTTTCACCCACTGTCGCACAATGCCATTTTTTGGCTCCAGTTTTCCTCAGCATCGCCCTCAGCAGGACTTTGTCCGCTCCACCAGCATATATGTTTGCAAAAAGAGAATCGCCTGGGCCACCATGAAAACTTTCTGCAGCTGGCTGACTGTCCGGGTTCTTTGCTTCAATGGGATTGTCGCAGATGACAATCCGTGCCCGGCGTTTCTAATGTGGAGCTTTTACCGTATAGGAACCAACATATCAGGGGCCACTTCCATCTGAGGAAAACGAGGGTCACGACGGAGTTCCATGTCTTTCGTCACCTTCAAGGCACCCGTGATCTCCGTCAAGGACCGATACTCGTCCAAAAGTGGCTGCGTCCACAACTCGAGCTCCGTTCGAACTTGCTGTAGAGGCACCATATAAGGTTCGCAAGACTGTGCAAGGAGGTTCTTGTTGGCTATCCATGCAAGTTTGAACCAACGAAGCAAGACGATGCCCCCGATGCTGCTCCCCCAGGTCCTCCTCTTTCATCAGCAACTCCTCCATGATTCATCTCCAAGTGCTGGCCTTGTTCGCAGCCTTCCTCTTCTCCTATTGCAACTTCTCGGAGCTCTTCCATCCATATAGATTTCAGTGCCCAATGCTCCTCCAACTCCATCTCGTGAAACCTTTCCACATCGGTCCACGAGAACCTCGGCAATGGCTCTGTGCGCCCCCCGAATCACATTCTCCTGGGAATCCAACAGATCCAATCTTTCTCAACAAAACTGCATTGATCACCATGTTCATCAGAGACTCCAACATCTGAACATCCACCAACCACATCTGTTCCAGCTACCGTCAAGGGGCTCCAAAACCTTCACATTCTTTGAAGCGTCGAACCCCTCAGAAGTCTCCACATACCTTGAAGCGTCGAACCCTTCAGAAACCTCCAAGTTCAAGGTCTTTAAACCGAAGTTCTCCGCCGTCTCATTGTTTCCAACCACTCCACGCCAGCGAGGCCTGAGACCGCAGCTTGAGCAATCCACCATGCCACCTTCTGCGTCTTCACATGGAGATGCCATAGGAGAAGACAAGGATAAAGACTTTTTTAAGTTTTTGATTTGCTTTCACCTGTCTCCCCCCCTGCCCGCATCTTGACAAGGGCAGGTCTGGCCAGCTTTGGGCGAGGCTGCTCATGCAAAGAGCAACGGCATAGCACCTCGAAGCAGGTGAGGATCATCTGACTGTTTTCCAATCAGCCTTCTCCCCTGGCTCCGTCGACCACCGCCATCATCGATCTGACGAAGTTCCAGTTGTGCCTCATACCCATCAGGGTGTGGGATAGTAGCTGTCCTCACATGCATCACGTTGTGCTCATCCTTGGTGATCCACCCGGTCGAAATAAACGGAGAGGGGCCAAGCAACTGCATTGACCTGAAAGGATTTGAAGAGGTTGACCACCCTTGTGCCAACGTTTGACCTTCACTGCCACTTGAACTCATTGAAAACCCCAATCTGTCAACCTGAAGTCGAAACCTCTCCTCAGCTGCGTGACGCGCAGCGCACGGCCACAAACCCATGTCCACTCCGGACTCATGCAGAAGGAGCGTCAGCTGCTGCTTCATTTGGCTTAGTTCAACTTCACATCTGCCATTTGGCTGGATCATCTCCTGAAGTCATAGTCTGAACCAGTTGGCGTTGATTGCACCACTTCTGCACCTTGGCATGACGGAAGGACTTCTCACGGTCTGTATGCAGCCGCATCACATTGAATCCCAGCATCCGGAACTTGGCACGAAGTTTTGACATCGCTGCAACCAAGTGACCCACATTCCTGGATTGCACCGGCTCCATCAGGGAGATGTTCTGAACCTGTGCAGGCTCGGCCATCTCTTCAATCTGTGCCTTTTCATGCAAGGCATCGACCTCGCTCTGTTCCACCGCTTCTTCATTCTCCTCAAGCTCTTCTTCCAGGAAGGCCAGGAGCTTCCTCCACATCCCCCGGCTGGAGTTCAGGAACATCAGGTACAGCAGCAAGATCATGAAGCATCGGAATTGGAACAACTGCCACCATCATGCACCTGCGTGACTTCCCAGACCCCAAATCTCGACCACCTTGAAAAGGCCCCGCCAGATCCAAGGACATAGTGAAAGATGACGAAACGTTGTGACTTTTTCGATGTGGGCGCGGTGTGCCCATAGATTCCAAGCAGACCCTGCAATCTTTTGGAAATGGCACATGCTGTTGCCTGACATGTCTCCTCCAGGCTGCCATGTTGATCTTTCTGATCTCTGCCCCCTCTTCAACCACGTCCTTCTTCTCCAAAACTTGGAGCAAAGTCTGACCGCTTCCAAAATAGCGGCGGGAAGTCCAGGGGCCCATTCTGCCCAAGACCTTGAGGTCTGCATGCGGCCATCCAAGTTGCCGTCACCTCATTGGTCGACCCGCCTCCTCTAAGCCCATCCAGCTCTGGGAGTCCAGCAAGATTGGAAACCAGTCCTGTTGGTTTTCGCCTGGTATGTCCCATTCTTTTGTGATTAAGCTGGATGTCGTACAGCTCCTCCAAGTCTACCGAGGACATCAGCTCTGGGAAAGTGAAGAAGGAAGGGCACAGTGAAGCCTCTGGTTCATCCAGATACGTCGCTGCGTCATTGAGGAGACTCGAGAAGAAAACCTGTTGGGACATTGGACGCACCCATGCCGCCAACCTTTTGCTTTCGGACTTACTCCGCTTTCCTCTAAAGTGCCACTTATTTGAGGAACAAAGCTGAATCCCCATCCACCAGCTCCATTTCTTCCGGGCCCAGATTTTCCAACCCATATCGTTCTGGTCCTCGTCCTCTGACTCTGCGAGGCCCAGGTGGACCCTTGTTGCGAAGCTTGCTCACTGTACGGCAAGGAGGTCCTCCAATGATCAGCTTCACAAGTCCTTGATGCCAGAGACCAAAGGTATGACCACGCAACTGGCCGATGTAGATCAAACTGACTCCCCAAACAAGTGTTGATGATTATCCATTCATAGTCACCAGCTCCCGACCAACCCACTTCTTCGTGTCAGGGCCGCTGAAAAGGTGAACATCTGGCATGGGCTCTACGTTGGCATCTATTCCACGGCAGCATCTCAGGATCCCACTCATCTTCTCAGGATCCCACTCATCTCCTTGGCCCCGGATCTTTCACAAAACCCGGTCTGGCAAAGAAGGAAAGTGCTCCTTCCACCACCGCAGCTCCTCCGCCTTCATGTCCATCTCATCCCCGTCGAGGCGCTCCATCTCCTTCGAGATTTCCAAAGCTCCATCTCTGTCCATCACCGGACACCCATGTCGAAGAAAGCATTTGATCACACCCAAGACCGCGTGATGAATCTTGCAGCCTAGAGAAGCGCTGTACCTGATGCCAATTCCACCTCCACCTGCTCCAGCTGACTGATCTCGGACTCATAGGCCATCCTCAATCCATGGGTCACTCCACCATCCACAAGAGCCATGAGACCAGAGCTCGAAGCTGCATCAAAATTGATCAGCTTCAATCGCATAGCTCGAAGTGATCTCAAGCATTTCAACAGCAGCGTCGCCACATTGATCAAGGTGGTCATATGATCAGCTGCCTGTTGGCCACCTCCTGCATTGACCTTGGTCTCGTCCACAACTGTTGTAGAGCTCCTCAAGGGCGTAGTACTCGGCAAAGACGATGAATATTCAGGCTTCCCACCTCCAGTCTCATCCTTGGTCTTCTCAGGCAAGTCTTTCTTCTTTGGAGTGCCTTTAACCTTGGAGACCTTCGGCGCCTTCTGAGAGCCACCATCCTTCTGTCAATGTGGGCAATCTTTCCTCATGTGCCTGTCTCCACTGCACCCATAGCATCTGTTCTCCTTGGAAATTCCATTCTAACTGTGACTGAAGTGCAAGCGCCTCCTCTGCGGCATCCTCCAGATGTTCCCCAAAAACGACATGCACCCTTCGGTTTTTCATCTGTTCCACCACCGCCAAATTCCACTGCCCTTACAGCCGCCGGCGGTGTTGTAGCAGTTGTAGTGGTAGCGCTCGACATTGGAGAAACATTGGCAGAAGTCTTTGGACCACTCAGCATCAAACTCAGTCACCACCTGAATCATCCTGAATCATCAAAGATGCCTGGATTAGCCTAAATGACAGGTCCTCTGCTTCCGCCTGCAAAAACTCTGCGTATTTTTGAACTGCAGGCAGGACGTAGCGGCCGATGGTCAACCTGAAGCTCCTGTCGCACTGACGCCAGCCTGTACGAGACTTGAGATCCTCCAAGCTTTCCAACTGCATCCGACATCTTCCCTAGCACCTGCATCAGAATCAAGGGGCATTAAGGCGGATGGTACCAAGCACATGATGAAATAGTGCCCACCCGACCCTCTGCATGTCAAAGATGTCAGCAGCGACGCCCTTTCTGCTCCACTGCCAGGCTGAAACACCACAAAGGGACGGTACAAAATTGACACCGTCGACACGTTGCGAGCACCCACAATGTCACGTCGAAGAGCTTCAGGAAGGATCCCCAGCAACATTGAAATTCCACGCTGCCCCAGACGCATGTGCACTGGGTCAACCTCCACGGTGGGCTTGAGGCGAAGACTTTCCAAAGGCGTTGATTCAAGCCATCGCCAATAAAAATCCTCAGCCACATCCAAGGTTCGCTCCCGCCATCTCCTGCCACACCTTTGACAAAGATCCCAGGTCTGACATGAGGGGTGTAATTTTGTAAGCCAATCCCCAAACTGCAAAGCTGCTCCCTCCGATCCAACCACGGGCAAGCTCGGCAGCTCCAAGTGACGAAGAGATTTTCAATCCGTTCCATCAAAACCAATCCGCGCTGATGCCAAACCAGGTGGAGGTTCCGGACCTTGAGCTGCACCATGAGGAAGACCATCATCAGGTCGGTTGCCACCACTCCCATTCGGCGTCTTCGCATTCTGGGCACCCTTTGAACTGGAAGCTGTATGGTACGACTCCGCTTCAGTCTTCTCACCGAACCCAAGCTTCTTCACCTCGCGTGCAAAAGCTTCTTCTGCATCTCTCAAACATTTCTCCTTCAACTTCTCAATCCCCACATCAAAACCTGAACTGCCATCGTTTCCAGTGACTGCAGGACGATCATCATGGCCTCGAACTGAACGCTGCCCTCCAAAAAGGATTCACTTGACCTTGATGTGGGGATCCATACGGCTCCAAAATTCAAGGCTCCACTCCATGATGGCTTGCAGACTGAACCATTCCAGGGGTCCGCAACTGATCACGCCGTCGTGAACCGCTAGCATCTTGGCCGCCTTTATGTCCGTAACGGACAACTTCTACACCACGAGCTCCAGTCAAAGCACCTGGCGATGCCAAAAGCAATTGACCCCCGGTGTTGGCAACAACTCCTTGTCTGACTCCCCTGATCATTATTCCCAAGTAGAGGACCAAGAAGACCTTGTTCTTGAGGATGACGTCCAAGTGCTTGCTGCAATAGTCCAAAAGAATGCGAACCGCATCTTGCAGCGCCCCAAGAACCAATGCTTCCGCACGTGGATAGCTAAGAGCATCTCGAACTTCTTCATGAGGACGTCCAACCAGCTGCCCACCACCACCGGTCACCTTGCGGCTGACTTGGCTGAACCTTCCTCCATCAGAGATCTCTAATCGTCTTCCAACAAAGCATTTAGCCACCTGTTTGCCACTCCAAGCTCCAGTCGTTCACCATCTCTCCGACCATCTGATTGCCGAGGGGGTGGACCGCGAGCTCGACCTTCACGTTGATTTGCTCCAGGTTGCGTGTCCACCTCCCTCGACTCTGAATTCCGTCTTCTCATCGTCAATAGCGACATGGCTTGGCTCATAATCTGAGCAATCCCAAGCAGCGAACCACAGCGGGCTGCCGGGCAACATCTCTTGAACCACGGCAGTTGCACAGATTTGTGCGATGTCATCCTTGCGCAAAGGGCCATGCGACCTCAGGTTCACGTGCAATGGCCATGCTAATCTTCTCTGTATCAAAAGGCAACGAGGTGTTTCAACCTCCAATTCCATCAACATCAAAAAATATGGAAAAAAGAAGAAGGACCAAAAATGCGAGGATTCCTTCACCTTCACAATTTCATTTTTTTTCCAAAGAACCTGCTGAGATCATTGATCTGACATCCCAGGAATTGACCATGATCAAAGTGATCCGTGACTCAGCTGAAGAGCGACCGGGGCGATCGGGGCTTGGCGGCCTGGCATCTGTGACGCCAGGAGGTGCGATGTAGGTGACGTTAATTTCTCTTGACAGCTGCAGACTCGGCAGAGTCGGCGAGTCCATCAGAAGAGGTCGTAAAGAGATGCAAAGAGAATCTGAGGTCGTCTGAGAAGCTGAGCCCCTTGAGCAAAAACATGTGAAAAGAATTAGGAAACGTATGGAAGCGTATAGAAACGTATGAACAGGATGCAGTAAATATTTGTCAACAGATGTCAACAGCTTAAGGCCCTCTAGACTGTGTTCCAAATTGGATGCTGGATATGACTGAGAGGTTGGCATCGCACTAAGGTGTTTTGAGGCTACTGAAGCTGACGCGCTTGGCACGCAGTTCAAGATTGGCACAAAGGCACCACCGAACATAGTGAAATGAAGTGAACAAATGACGCAAACATAAGTTGTAACAAAAATTGTAGCATAAGTTGTAACATAAGTGAAACATAAGCGAGAAACCTGTGAACATCTTGAACGCTAGCGGCAGCACCATCTAGCGACAGCGACGCTACGCCAGTAGGATTTGGAACGTGTAGGTGGCTATGCCAATGGAAGCCAATCACCGTGACTCCTCGTGGCTCGTGTCTCCTCGTAGGCTGGAAGCTCCGATCTCATTGCCGTACCAACATTTGGCACTGCTGCGCTGCGTCCTGGCTACTTGGACGCATTGGAGAACTAGTCCCAGTTCCTAGAAAACTCCCAGTTGAGAAGCTTAGCAGAAATCCCATTCTTAGATGCTGTTCGCAGTCTAAATTTGCTTGCGTTGTGGTCATATTTTGCCGTTCCTCATTCCAATGTGTTTCTTCGATGATAGGTATGAGGATTATGCATGTCGTTTGTACTGGCCCTGTTTTGCGACTGAATTCACAGGAAGGTGCGCAAGGCAAAAGGGATTTAAAGGGCCATGTTCCTAGTGATCAACGTTTTGTCATGGTTCTTCAAAGGCCTGTCCCTGATGGCCCATGTCAAGAGCGACCCAAGAGCACTAACAGTGGACAGGTATGAATGAATCGGTATGAAAGACGTGTAGGGAACATGTGTTGTTGAGGTTTCATGCCGTCTTAGATGTCTCTTTGAATTTTAGCCAGGCCGTTTTTCACGTTGAAAGATGTTGAAAGCTTGACGGTGACCCAAGGGGTGCTTCAAGCTGTCAAGGTAAGCACAAGCCAAAGCTTGTGTTGTTTGACAAATTTGACAAGTTCAGCTGCTGTTCAGCTTAGGTGCTGGTTCTGGTTTGTCACTGGCTGGCATCTTTGTGGGCAGCCACCATAGGGCTCGTCCCTGATGGAACTCCCACATGGATTGATGACATTGACACTCGACAGACTCGACAGACTTTACCGCGCTTCAAGAGCACGCAGCAAAGAGGCAACATGAGGCAACTATAGGCTATAGGAAACTAAAGCAAGGTAAAGTAAGTGAAGGTAAAGCAGGAAACCAGGAGTATTAGCTATTAGCGTAAATCCACATGGAGTAGACCAGCAGGATAGTAAAAACATTGAACAATTACATAAAATGAGGGCATAGGGCTGAGGGATGTGTTGATTGGTGTAAGAACCGCAGAAAAACTCGAACCTCAGAGAAACAGAGAAAATATTAGAAAACATGAGACAACATGAGAAAACAAGCACAGAGACATAAAGTGCAAACACATTTTCAGGCAAAGGAAAATAAAGTGGAAACTTGTGATGTTTGGATGTGCCTTTGGATGTAGTCTTGGTTTGAGTTCGACATATCAAACTGTGGCGCAGCGAGCTGAAACTCTGCAAAGCTGTGGCAATCTTGGGTGAGTTTCGACTGCTTCGAGGCAGCTGTGGATGAGGGTTTCGGAATTGACACTCGCGGGAACCCATTCCGTGTCTACGTAGCATCCTTCTACTTTTGCAGCTGCTGGGCATTGCTTGGTGGAAGACACGGAAGACGCGGTAGAAAATTTTTTATTGAAGATGATCGAAGATGATTGATTGAAGCACATGCTGTGGAGAACTGATTAGAATTGTAGTCAGAGTATGCCTCTAACTCCAAGTCTTCAACAAATTGTGTGGGATGAAACATGGTCATTTCAATTTATCTAATCTAATTGGAAACGGAGGGAATTTGGTAAAGGACACGGCAGATGTATCGAGCTGTCTAGAACGACATTTGTCACAAAATTCAAAAGGGCCGTTTGAATCCTGTGTTTTTCAGCTTTCGGTTCCGCAGCGAAGCCCTTGTCCTCCCAACTTGCAGCACTCCACTCTGAGGCACTCTTGCAGCATCTTGCAGCCTTGTTGATCCGTTATGATCCGTTATGATCCGTTATGATCCGTTGTCCCGACAACTTGTCCCCTTTGTTGCGGAACCAAGGCTACATGATGACCTCGGTCGGGTACGGGGAATCTCGGAAAAGAACTGACAAGGACTCAAGAAATCTCAAGATTTCGAGGTTCCCCAAGGTTTTTCTACATAGAAACAATTAGAAACCGCCGAGTATTGTAAATATTGTAAATTATTACAGATCATCTTGCAGGTTTTTAATTCGTTGGTTCCAGGTTTGGACTTGGCTGCACTGGCGTACTAACCGTTACTAACCGCAACTCACGCCATTGCTTTTGTGCAGTGCATCGCATGTCCTGCGCACGGCTCAGGATATCGGACCAAAGAATATCCTGGAGCGCATGGCGTGCACCGTCATCGTGCCTCGCAGGATTTGAAGGAACACAGATGGAACACCAACCTTATAAACTTTCACACTCGATCAAAACTGCGTTGAATAAGTGCTGGCGTTTTTTCAGTTTTTTGTTTTCAATTTTTTCATGTTTCGTTTTTCGTTGGTCCAAGATGGTCCAAGGTAATTGGGGCTGGTCTATCCTGGGCCTGTGACTCGGCGAGGGCCAAGGTGACCAAAGACACAAGGGGAACGAACGAACTATAACCACATGATTTATACATAGATACACTCTAATTATATATATATATAGAGCTTTAAGAACACAACTGAATCTTTTCTGTGGTCTCAAGCCTTATGTCACCTCAAGTGGCCCTGGGTCTGATTTCGGACGGACTCCGTACCAATTTTTGGGGTGTTGGTTGTCCTCCATACTGTGTTCAGCCCTCCTACGGCTTGCTGCTCGCACTGTTCCTCCTCGGGTGGTTGTTCGGTGTGGCCTGTGCGGTGTTTGTGGTTCTGAGGTTCGGTGGCCTTTTGTGTGCGTTGGTTCCTGCTGCTCCTTGCGCCGGATCCTCCACTGTGGCTCCTCTGAGTCGATCTCAACTGCTGGCCTCTTACCTGCATGAGCAGAACCACATCGCCAACTCAAGACGGAGAGGATTGATTTGCCTGGGGGTATCACTGTGGATATTCGTGCCCTGTCTTCCTCTGCTGGCCGTGCTGCTGACTTGCTTCGGTACATCTCTCGGTACGAGCAGCCTGGACTTGCTGCTGCCTCTGAGGCCTCCTTTGAATTGGTGTCTGACCCGGGTCCTGTGGAATCTGTGCGTGCTCCTCCTCCTCATCTCGTGATTCGATTCGTCTGTCCTTTTCTGCGTGTCCTGACTATCTCCTCCGGGACGCAGCCAGGTTGTGCGGTTCCTCCTTGTCAGGTCTGATCGGATCGAAAGTGGGCTGGTGGTCTTGGCTCGTCGTGTGGGCAGTCCTTGTCGTACTCCTACAATCGACCTTCGTCCTCGGTTCTACGCAGTGGTGTCGGCCCCTGGACTTGAGGGCCCTACCATTTTCAAGTCTTCCACCAGTTACTGGAAGCTCATCAAATCTCTCCAAGACAGCCCTTCGATCTCTCACTCATTCCCGAGTGAACTTGAAGCCCGAGTGTACTTGGAGGCAGCTGGATTCCGTGATCCCATCATTGCCCCATAGGCTTAGCCATGGCGTTGTCAGAGCAATTGGATTTGAGCAGCCTTGTCACTCTTTCCACGGACATCGAGCTCTACATTCTCGAATGGCCGGTTGTGGGGGAAGAAGAGGAGGGCCAGACTGCAGTGTTGGTGGTTCAGAAAAGAGGAGGGTTCCTTGCAGCAATGCCTGTAGGATTCCTGCCAGAGGAAATATTAGCCGTCGGAAACGGTCCTGCTCCTCCTGGCGTCGTCGGTCCTTCAACTGTCCGTGTTGTGCCTCTGTCTGTTCTGGACAATGGACTTCTGTCTCCTATACCGGTTCGAGTGCTTCGGTTCTGGTTGTGGATTTCCTCGAGTCTGTGGCTCGTCAGCTGTGTTTGCCTACTGCCTTCGAGACTCCGTCTTTTGCCTTCGATCCAGACCAGCCCTTTGGAGTTCCTCAACTGGGCCCTCTGCTGGCTCAAGTTCGAGATTGGCTTGTGTCAGGAGCTGTCACCAGCGCAGATGGTTACCTGCTTCATTCTCCGACTCAGCGGCAACAGATTTTGGAACAGCAGTTGGTGGCAAAGCCAGGCCCATCCGACTGTCATCCTTGCTCAGCCCTTCACCAGCCTATCTCAGCTTCCTTGAGTGTCCAGCAAAACTTGCCGAGAGCCCTTGCAAAGAGTCTTGGAACTCCGCCGAGGACTGTCGCATATATGCCCTCAGGTCTCTTGCAATCTCCAGCTGGAATTGCCGAATTGGAGTTGGAGAAGGATCAGACGGTCCCATCTATACCTCCTCCGATCCTCTTGCAAGGGCGGTTATGGTTCAGGCTCAGGCCCTTACAGAGCTTCTTGGCCAGATAGTTTCACCCAATGGCAGAACTGGTGGGTGGTGTGGCCGGGGCGGGGACTCGGGGGGCGGCAGGACGGGCCAAACTGCAGAGCGAACTGGCTCTCCAAAAAGGGTTGTTCTTTCAGAGCGTTCTATGTCAGATGGCAAGAAGGATGCAGCCCACAATGCCGGCCAGCGGCACTCCTCAGGAACTTCTTTTGCGGGGGGTTTCGGGGACACAATACTTCGAACGGTATGGGGGGCATCGGGAACTGGGGACTTTTCGGGTCATGACCATAATGGATTTCCTCCAGGCCGAAAACTGGCCAGCAGCCAAGGATGCGACAGCCCTTCTGTCGGTGGTTCTGGACCAGGCATGTTTAGACAATGGCAGATTCGAGCTAGCAAATCAGTGGGGGCCCTGTCCAGAGCAAAGGCCTTCACCCCCCTGGCAGACCAAAAGTGGGTGACAGTAGCCTTGGCCTACTTGAAGGAGTTAGATACCATCACAGCCAAGCGCATGGAGTTGGGCGGGGTGTCAAAGCAGAATCCCTTCGCAACCGGCTCAAGTGAAGACCCTCCAAAACCAAAACCTCAGCCCAAAAAGACAGAGAAGGGCAGGGGCAGAGGCAGCCATGCTTCAAAAACAGAGACAGAGGAGGCCGGCTAGGTTCCACAGGTGATATAAGGTTCATGCATGCTGCACAGGCGGGGCTGGAGTCAAACCCCCTCTGCTCTTCTATAAGCCTGCGAAGATGGATGGCCTGTCTTCCAAGGTGGATTTTGAAGACTCGCGCAAAGTTTGCTTGGTGTTTGCGTTTGTCCTTCTCTGCTGTGCGTCGTTCTCAGGAAACGTCTACCTCGGTGTTCCCTCTTCCCCTGGCGTCTTTGGATTGCTTTCGGTCGAGTGGCCCTGGCTTGTCAAGCAGCAAGTGGTTTTCAGTGTGTCGGTCTCGCCTTCTGAACATTTGGATTTTGGCTTTGGACTTTCCTTATCTTTCTCGATGGCCGACCCTTGACGAGCTTCGGAGGATCCCTTCAAAGAGGCAATTGGCTGTCTTTGAGCATTTGCGGAGATCTCTCACCGTGTGTGGTTGCCCCCAGGAGGACTTTCCCTTGTGTCCTGGGCGTACCGGTCCTGAATTAGGTGCAAGTCTGTTTCAACTTGAGCAGTTCTGTGAAAGTAGTCCAATTTTGGATTCAGGCTATATGAAAAAAAAGAGCTTGCCTTTCCGCGAGAGGCCTGAGGTGATCTCCCCAGAAAAGTTCCCAGAGCTTGTTCCCTATCGCTCTCTCTGTGCTGATCGCTTGAAGCTTGTTGGGGAGGGTCGCTGGCCCATGGCGGATTACCTTGACGGAGTTCTTTGGCTTCCTTTTCAAGAGCCGACGTTCTTGCATCGCGGACTGGATTTGCATGATGGCATTTTGCCAACCTTCAGCACTGAAGACCCTGTTGAGTGTGAAAAGCTTGCCCTCCTTTGGGATGCTAGAGGTTTGCTTTCCATTTTTGATGGTCCTGCGAAGCCAGGGCTATACAGCAGGGTTTTAAATTGCTACAAAAATACTTCCTGTGACAGACAGATCGGAGACAGACGTATCTATCCCAAATTTGGCGGAGTACCACATTGATGGGCCTTCAAAATTCCTTCCGCAGGGACGCTTTTGACTTTGCTGGAGGTCCCTCGTTTTTCGCATTGTGTGAGAGGTTCCATGACCGACAGGCGAGATTTCTATCACCAAGCATCCGTGTCGCCTGAAAGAGCCAGGTCAAACATGCTCCCTTTTCATGTCCCGCTTGAACGTTTTGAGAAGACAAACGCCATGACGGAGTTTTTGACTAGGACTACAGCTGGTCTTTCTTGCAAGCGTGAGAAAATAGGTGATGGATTCAGGCATGGACTTTTGCCCACGAGCGTGCGTCGGAAACTGCCTTCCAGTGTTTTCCCGGCCTTTCGGTCCTTGTTCCAAGGGGACCATCTTGTTGTTGAGTTTGCATTGAGAAGTCATGAGGTGTTACTGCAGGGTGCCGGCCTACTGTCAGAAGACACCAGGCTCCGGGGGCACAAGCCTTTTCCAGTTGGTCGTCGTGTTGAAGCAATTGGTCATGGATGATTATTTTGCCCTCAGCATTGACCCTATTGGCTTGCCTGTAGAAGACAGTTTTGCTTTGACTTCCCTTGAACGTGCCCGTGCCGTGTACCAGCATGAAGGTCTTTTAGGCTCTCCTGAAAATACATCAATGCAGCATGCCTTCTGAAAGCAGCCGGTGCTGAGATTCGATCTGGGCTTGAAAATGTAAAGCTTGGGTATGTGCCTGTTGGTTCCCCTTTTGCAAAGCACATGGCCTTGTCAGTTGTGTCTCTTCGTGCAGCCTGCCTACCAGCACTAAATGGAAAACTTGCCAGCCGACTTGCTGGAAACTGGGTCTCGATCCTGCAGTACCGGAAATGCTTTTCCAGTGTCATCGACGATTTGTTTCGCCTGGCCAGTGATTGCATTGCAGGTGACCCTTTGGAGCTTTATCCTTTGTCAAAGCAGGTCGCACATGAACTGGTGTCGTTGGCGTGCTTTTCTCCCTTGATGTTTTCTAATGTTGCTGCAACTTGGCTTGACAGGGCCTTTGCAACAGATGGGTCAAACAAAATGGGCGCCGTGATTGAAGCAAAGATCCCATGTGATGTCCAGAGAGTTTTGTGGTTGGATGCAGATAGGAAGGGATCCTACACCCACCTGAACAACAATTTCAATGGGATCTTGAGGCAGATCCAGGAGCTCGACACTGATGATGAGGCCGGTCATCCTTTTCCCGACAAGGACCCTATCAGCAAGGCTCCTCTCATGTACTTAGATTTTGTTGAAATCTGTGGTGGTGCTGGGAAGGTAGGTGACTCACTCTCCCGTCTTGGATTTTCGGTTGCTCCTGTTTTGGACTTGTCAGAGAGTGCGCATTATGATCTCACGTCCTTGCGGTTGTTGGAATGGATCATATACATGCTTGAAGAAGGACGATTCAGGTCTTTCCTGATTGCTCCACCTTGCACTTCCTTTTCACCGGCTGCTCACCCTGCCGTGAGGTCATACTCCATGCCGCTTGGGTTTGATCGCACCTTGCCAAAGACCCTGCTTGGAAACACCTTGGCCTTCCGAGCTTTATGCCTGTTGAGAGTAGGCAGGAGGTGCCGACGACCATGTGCCGCTGAGCAGAGTAGACTTAGCAAGATGTGCTGGCTTAGCTTGTGGATTTCTCTGCGTGACAAGGAGTTTGCCGAAGCCATCATCGCCTCATGCTGTTTGGTTCCATTCGCCGAAAAGAGTTCAGGTTTTTGTGCTACTTGCTCAACAGCAGGTTTTTGGAGCGTCGCTGCACTGGCGTGCACAGTCATGTGAAGGTTGAAGGTTCCTATACGAAAGCATCGGCGGTCTATGTAGACGGTCTTGCAGATCACTTGGCCCTTGCTTTTAAAGCTTCTCTTGAAGCCTTGAATGCTGAAGAACGTCTTGGGCCCTGCGTCGATGGACTCGAAACTTGCTTGCCGAACGATGTCATGTTGAACGCTCCTTGGAAGGTAGCTCGATCTTGGTTTTGGAGAAGACAGGGCCATATCAACATTCTGGAGCTTGGGTCCGCAGTGTCAAGTTTGGTTGAGCTCTCTGAATCTTGCTCCTCTGTCCGTTTCTCTCATTTCATTGACTCAGCGGTCTGTCGTTGCGCACTGTCAAAGGGGCGTTCAGCTTCTTTTGCTCTTCAGCCTGGGCTCCGTCGTGTCTGTGCGTCTCTGTGGCTTGTGATCTGTATCCTGCTTGGATTTTCTCGCCCACGAGGCTGAATGCTGCCGATGATCCCACCAGAGATGTCCCGCTGCGGGAGCCTTCTGAGCTTTGCCTGATGGATTTTTATGGATTTCCTCCGGGGGTGCAGCCAGATAAAGCTGAAACGTTTTTCCTCAAATTGGCTCCGTTTGGTTCTTCTGATCCTTGTTGTCCCTGGTGCCCATGCTAGGTCCTTCGTTTTCGATGGTGTCGATGGTTGGATTTACGAGGTGTTCGGGTTCGTGCGGCTGTGCTGCGGTCTTGGTGGGATTGTCCTCCTCTTCACTGTCTGGATTGGATTTTGCAGCCATGCTCCTGCCTATTGAGCAAGCCGTATCTCTTGGACTTGTCCATCTAGGGCTGGGCACAACTCTGTCACTCCTGTCAGGTGCCATACTGGATTTGGGCGTTGTAGGGGCTTAGTAGCTGCCATGGTTTTCCTGTGCTGCCTCCACTGCGCGCTTGCGATGCCTCTCGCTCCTGGATCAGCTGGGGAGAGGAAGAGGTTTCAGGCGCGAGCAGAAAATCAGATTGAAGCGACAAGAGCCTTGAGAAGGCAGACTCAGGACAGGCGTGACATCTATGTGGATCAGTTTCGGAGATGGTTGCTGGAAGAGAGAGGTATTTCATACCGTTTCCTCATACATCAGAAACCTGCAGACCCTGAGCGAATAGCTGCTTTGCTTGTTGAGTACGGAAAAGATTTGTATTACGCTGGAAAAGCCTATGGAATTTATGCAGAGACGATCAATGCAGTGGCGAGCTCCCGTCCTTTGATAAAGCGGCAGCTAACGGCCGCCTGGGATCTTGCTTTCTCCTGGCTTTGTGATGAGCCTCACGATCATCACCCAGCTATGCCAATTTCAGTACTTGCAGCTATGTCAGCGGTTTCTTTAGTTTGGGGCTGGCCTCATTTTACTGCAATCTTGCTCATCTCTTGGGCAGGAGTGATGCGAATCGGTGAAGTTCTGGCGGCGACAAGAGATGAACTGGTGCTGCCGATGGACTGCGCTCCTGGCACCTCCTTCATGCTCGTAATGATACGAGCTCCGAAGACCCGGGGCAGGGCGGCAAAGCACCAGGCAGCACGCATCGATCAGTCAGACATCGTGCAGTTTGTGACGGCCATGTATGGCGAAGCACCAAAACAGACGAAGATCTGGCCCTACTCCCCTGCCACGCTCCGAAAGAGATTCAACGAGGTCTTGACAGCCCTTACTTTGCCCACCACAAAAACTGGAGGACAGCGCCCTTTTGGGCTAGGATCCATGCGACCAGGTGGCGCTACTTGGCTCCTGCGCAAGACCGAGAACTCAGAAGTTGTGCGGAGACGTGGTATAGGTGGATTTCAACCAAGATCATGGAGATCTATTTGCAGGAGGTGTTGGTAGCTACTTTCATGGAAAAGATCAGACCCTGGACCAAAGTTCTTTTAGATCTATGTTCTGGCGGTTTTGCAGCCGCTCTGGATCGTTGCATCGATTTTCTCCAGACTGGCGTACCCCCATCCATTTGCTACTACCTTTTTAGAGACAGTGCAGAAGTTCTTACGGAGAAGTTCGAAAAGCAGGGGGCAAATGGGTATGAAAGCAGGCACCCAAAACGGATGCACTGCCCAAGAAACGATTTCCAAAGCACAGCAGAAAATGGAGGAGGGCGTTGTTCTTATAACACACACATATATATATATATATAATATAATTGTACTATTGAAGCGTATAAGAAACATTATACATACACGTCCGTGTATGCACATACCATTATATATATAAATATGTAAAAATATCTAAAGATATTGATGCATGGTATATGTAAAGAATTCTTCGCGCAGTGGCAAAGATGAAATTTGACAATTTGTCAAGGTCTCTACTGCGTTTTGGACAGAAACTTCAGATTGATACGGGGATGCCGTTAAAGTGGAACCCAGGAAATTTCCAAATTTGATTTTTTTGAAACTTCATCACCTTCAAATGGGCAAGTCCAAAGAAATCAACGGGCTAAATGATAAAATGCTTGGCACATTTTTAACTCCGAAGGCAGTCATAAGTGAATCACGCATTCTACATCTCAGACTAGTTGACATTTTGTTGTTTTTCTTGTTTTGCTTCCAAGCGGGGGGGTTTTGCTTTTGCCACATTGCGCCGATTGTGAGGCGTTCTTGGTGAAGTGTGTGCAATTGTGATGCTTGTCAGCAAAAATAATTGAATGGTCTACCAGTATAGACTACATATCTATATGCTTGTCTGCCAGCCTACCTATCGGTCCATCGATATATGATATATGCATCCATTTGTCTCAAGCCTCTTCAAACACGTTAGAAATTAGATGCATTAAAATTCAAAGGAGGTCTCTCTGTGACAAAGTGCAAGGGTTGATATACACACACGGATCTACATATTGTTATCAACCCAGCTTTGCAACCCAACAGTGGTGTTTCAGGGTACTGGCTACTGGGGTTTCGTTCTGGATCTGTTCTTGTTTCTCCTCTGCAGGCAAACGATACTCCAATCCCAGACTTAGAGATTGTATAAAACCCAACAGGCACATCTCGGATCATCTAGGGTATTCGCGGACTAGCTTGGACTGCTCTCCACCAAAAACCATCGAAAACACATGAAAACACTTTGAAATTTAACAGACAGCGGTTCTTTTCACTTGCAAGTTGTGTTGATCGCATTCTAGTGCAAACACTGCAGATGATGGCTTGAACAGTGGACAAAAAACTGGTGCAAGATGCTTCACCAATGACTGATGTGCTACAAACACAAGGAAGCATGGAAAGGGACATACTTCGGCTCCGAATGATTGTGACGCAAAATGCAGAGCCCGCCACGAAGAAAAACCATCACACCGCCACCACAAAAAACATCCGAAGATCGACGAATCTCCGAAGCGCCGCGCAATCTTCGACCGATCTACGACGTTACGACGTTCTACGACCGTACCATCCTGTTTGTTGCGTCTTCGTCTTGTTGGCTTTCCGTCGCCTGTGACATGTAGATAAGAGTGGTCAAAGAGATTGCTAACACCCATACTCTGCGGGTATCCCGTCTGGACACAAAAAAACAATCATCAATCACCTTTGTCAATTTTGGGTGATTTTTGGCTGGTTTTCCAGTGGAAAGCACGGATCTGCCTCCAATCGTAGCAAATGCGTGATGTCATTTAAAGATGTACCCTGCATGGTGGATCATTAGACCTTGTGTGTGTGTGTGTGCGAGGCAACTTGTTCCGGAAGAGCGCAAAAAGAAAAGAAACCAGAGCAATCCCATTAATTATATCCAGTGATTCACGAGCAGTTCACAAGTGAGAACCACTGGAACAACTTGACCAGTTGTGACCAGTTGCAACATGTTGTTGTGAGTAGTGACAGGTGAGTGACAGGTGACGACAGTGAAAACAGTGATGACTAGTTTGCACCTCTTGAGGTCCATATCGTCACCGAAGAAATCTGTGATTTTCCAACAAGCATAGAGTCGAGGTATGTCAAGGTGTGCAACATGTTTTCATGTATACTACGGGCAGACTCCCACGCTGCTGCACATCATGCATTCACAGTGATAAAAGAAGATCAACCGCATTCGAAAAACATCAAACAATATGTTCGATTTGACACCTGCGGTCTTTCGGGCATTTGAGGGCTGAGATGAATGCAGCGACGCAAGATTTCAGAAAGAACATGCACCTTTGGCAAACATTGGTGAGGCTTTCAGAAACAGCGACAGAATCATCATACGACAGTTTGTGTTCTAAAGCCGGCGTTTGCGGCTCCGTCTGGTGCATCTATGTCATATCATAGTTTCATATAGTTTCTTGTTAATGGATGTCAGTGGTTTGCAACATGGACCAGGTCAAACACGTTTCAAACAAATTCCTTTCATGCTGAAGGGACTGAAGGGATTAATTAGTCATGATTAGTCTCGTTCCGTCTGGTTCCTGGTTCCCCTTTCCAGTGAAGGCGTCCCAAACCACCTCGCTGGGCTGTGGGACTCGGGGTGCAGTGCAGTTGAGGCATCACCTCAATGGGATGATGGGCGATCAGGGATTGCCTGGCGAGTTGCAGAAACGTTTCCCAACTTGAATCCACGTATCAGTACCGTATCAGTACCGCATTGAATTCTTGGTCAACTGATGTCAACTGTACGTATCTTTCTCTCCAAAGTTCGACCGAACTTTGACCAGTGCAAAACACATCGATGGAAAGGAGAAGACTCAACAAATCACTTACCTTGTGACATATTGTGACATCTTGGTGACATATGGTGATTTTTGGCCTGCGTTTATACTCTTATCAACCAAGCTGCCCCGACCAAAACGACGGCTATTTGATTTGGACGCAAAGACGTAGAGGTTTTCATTTCCAGACACGCTGTGTGTGTGTGTGTGCGTGTGCTTATTCACATCTGAACATTGTATAATTGTAAATATACGATATGATAAATATACGTATATATATATGTATATATATATGTATGACTTCATACATGTAACTCTCAGAATAAAGATACGACTCTGTATATACAGTATATATGTATATATGTATATAGCTGTGACTGACACTGATGGATGTTTATTGAGATGCATGTTGCATTCAAAAACAAACGGTTTTTTGTTATGCCATCGACCAACGGATAGATGGCTGCCCGTCGTGAGCCGCGAGGTTTAAGAACTTTCTTTCTGCAAAATCGACATCAAGTTAATTTTGCGACGCATCAGAAGCTTCTGAAAAACATGAGGCGAGCGGAGTTTTGGACCCGAGTTTGAATATGTTTGAGTCATCTACCGCAGCTTAATCCATGCTTTCAACGGATGGAGTTTGACTAAGACAAGGTGCATATACATGCGGATTTCATCCAGCTGCAACAGCAGACTCGGCAGTCTCAAAAAACATTTGTACTCCACTCACGTACTGTGCAGATGTGCAGATGTTGTGATCGTGTCAGTCCCCAGCTACAAGCAGAAGTTTCTACAGTTGTGAACCTACCGTGGCTTCGGAAAGTTCGGGGGCCCAGAAGGCAGCGCAGCGGCCCAGGTGAAGGCGCCGAACGCACGAAGGACCCAAGGATACCCAAGGTATACGAGATTTTCAGAGAAACCTACCAAAACCTACTACTTTCACTGTACCTACTACCATCTACTACCATCTACTACCATCTACTACCATCCTACTACCTGTATGCTGAGTTTCGCTAGCCGAAGCTACTCTGTGTCATTGGTATCGCTGTGCAAGCAGAGAGAACACTTCAAGCTGGGCATTGCAGGAGCCAAGCAACATTTATACACCGCAAATCCTAGCATCAGTTCGTTTCTTTCCTAAACCCATGGACTGGATTTTTTTTTGCCGGATTTTGTCAATTGACTTTCTTGGGACCAAGTGACAGTTTGACCACTGTGCAGTGCACCACATCTTTACCTGTTGGGTTTAGCCGCGTAGCCAATGTATTTCTGTTGGGAGGTCCCTTTCTTCAACAACTTCTTGATGCACATCGAAGTCTGAGAGCCGAGATGCAGTGAGCTTTGTGACCACACATGACCACACCTACTGTACCACTTCCTTGCTCCTCCTTACACATCCTTACATCATTGTTTGCGCATTTTCTATAATACTTCTGTGCGTACATAGACAAAACATGACAAAACGTACAACTACTATTTTTACATAGTATCGAAGGGATGTTGCGATCAGGAGTAGCGTTGCTTGCTAGGTTTTCCTTTATCTATTGGCGGGCCTCATTTCCTTTTTGTGTAGCACAGCATGTGCGTAGGAACATGGCCATGACGACTTGATTGGCCGGCAGAAGTGTTGGCTCAGGAAAGCCAACTGAAAAGGCTGGGTTGCAGGAGCCATGGCGTTCCTCACCCTTCTGCTGTTGCCTCTTGCTCGCGCCGTGCTCGAGTCTGTAACGCTGCCCACGGAAATCGAACCTTTGGGAGCTTCTGATGCCTTCGATTTCCTTAAGCAAGCCGACAGGCATGAGAAGCATGGCAAGCATGAGCATGAGCAACATGAAGATGCCAGAGTCAGAAGCCTCCGACGACAGTGCAGCACTGGTGGAATCGCTTTTGGTCATTTGGGCTTTCCTCCTTTGGTTGTCAGCAGGCTATGATCAAGTGTAGTATCTGTTCTTATCTGTGTGACAACTGATAGGTCTCCATCTGGAGACTTGCTTGTCACATCAATTCCATCCTTCTTAACGGCGGTAGTCCTAATTTTGCTCGTATCGGTCACTTGTTCGGCGCTGTGACCGGGATACTGTTGACCTTCAAAGCCAGGTTTCGCACCTTTGGCACTTTTCATTTTGATTCGTGAAAATTGTTCAGCCATTTTCTTGTGTGTGCGTGTGTGTTAGTTGATGCTGCTCCGCTGTTCCTGTCATCTCCCTTCTCCCTCCGCCGCATGTTGCATGTTTTTTTTTTGATTTGTTTTAGTGGCCGCCGTCTTTGGGCACTCACTTAGTTTTTCTTTTTTTTTGATTTTGAGAAGGGTTTTTGACTTCATCTCCATTTGAAAGTTTTTGCCCGAAGTTGGAATGATCCTATGTGAGTCAACATCACCCTTGCACTTTAACGGCATGTGCAACTCACAACTCATGACCTGATCCATCCATGTTCACGAGTGAGCAATGTTTTCTTTCAAATAGCCCATGGAGGGCTTGTGGGATGCTTTGAGAGCGTCAGGGCAGGGACTCCTGGCTAGCACATTGCTGCGCCATGGTGTGCGTAGTGTTTCCGATGTCGCTTTGAAATCCTCCGTTCTGCAAGAGAATGGTGTTCTCCAATGGCAGATTGAAGCCATTTTGGCGGCGGGGCCCCAGCAGGCGGTGTCCCCAGCCCAAGTGAGGGCTGATTTGCCAGTTGCCTTTCAGGGGAAGAGGGCAAACCTTTCAGCAGCCTTAGAGGCTGCGCGACCAAATCAGCGGGCTCGCAGTTTAGCCGCCCTTGACGAAGATGTCTTAGCTCGGAGCACGGCTCCAGCTCACGAGTCACGTCTTCGGACGTATCAGGCTGTTTGCAAGGCTTGGGATCTGGAGCCTTTTCCGCTCTCCAATGAGAACGTTCGAGCTTTCGCTGCGAGTCTGAAAGCAGGTGGATACAGAAGCGCTGCCGTGTATTTTCAATCCATTTGCTCACACCAAACCAGGCATTTGCACCTTCCTGTTGACTCGTTGCTTCGGCATGTCATTCGAGACTGTCTGCGTTCAATTTTGCGTGGACTTGGAGCTCAACGTTTAAAGGAGTCCTTCGACGCTATGCGACTCAATGATTGCTCTTTCAGTTTTGTCGATGAAGCTTTCAGTTTTGATCAAGTTAGCCACTGCCGAGATCTTTGCATTATCGGATTGTGGTACATGTTACGTGAGTCGGAGTTAGCATCAGCTCGGCTCAGTCATTTGACCTTGACTGACTCTGAACTTCGCTTGCTGATTCCAATCCACAAAACCGATTGCTATGGTCAGCTCTGTGAACGAGTGCTGTCTTGCTCCTGCAGGGTCCGACGACACAATTTATGCGTCTGGCATGCGGCAGAGCGCCACCTCATCAGGTGCCAACACAACCTTGGCGGTGGTGATGCAAATAGGTTTCCATTGTTTCCCACTAGCAATGGACAGACTGCCAGCAAGCATCAATTTATCATGGCACTCAGGTCAGTCATTTCTTTTCTTGGCATTCCACTGAGTCGCAGGGATCCTTCAGGGAAAGACATTCAACGTTTCCACGGCCACGTTCTACGTGTCAGTGGAGCGCAGATGTTGTTCGCAGCTGGTGTGCATCTACAGCTCATACAGCTGCTGGGGAGATGGACAAGCATGACCATCTTGCGCTACACGCAGCAAGCTGGCCTCAATCTGCTGCCGAGCATCCCTGATGTGGTGCTGAACAACCGGCCTGATGTTGGTTCGCTGGCGATTGCGCCTGCCGTGGGCCCTCAAGTTGATTCAGATGCGTTGAGCCGTGCTGCTCCCAGGATCTCAAACGAGTCCTCCAGATCGGGCGCTTCTTCTTCTTCCAGGACCTCGACATCCGGGGACATCACTGCTTTGCGTGCCGAGCTTCAGATCCTCAAACAAGCAGTGATCAAGCCGCCTGCAGCATATGTCATTCGCTCCAGGTCCAAGATTGTCCACCTGGGCTGCCCGCATGAACTCAGCAACCCACCTAGCTCGTGGCGTTCACGGTGTGGATGGGCCTATGGTCAGGCAAACTTTTTGAGGGTCAGTGAGATTTCTGATCCCCTTAGGGCCTGTCAGAAATGTTTTGATCGGAATGCAGATTCCGGTTCCGATGTTCAGAGCTCTGGTTCGGGCTTTTCTGACCTGGAACCTTCTGATAGTGACAGCTCTTGATGTTCTGAAGCCTCCAGCTGGCGAGGTTCTTGATCGGTGCCAGCAATAGGCATCCACATTAACCTGACTCATGCAACTGATGTGGTTAAAACAAATGCGACCGGCCGACACGGTATCCCAGGTGCCAGTCCACTGCATGCGAGTTTACATTTTTGATGTCTTTCATTTTAGACCTGAGACTCTGCACATCATTGTGGTACTTTGGCTGCTCTCCACCAACTGGTAGGCAGGTATTTTGTTTGTTTTGGTTGTGCCACCCCACTTGGTTATTTTTCCAACTTTGGTCTTTGCACAGTTGTTTTTGTGTTGATTTGCGACTCATCACGACACGTTAAGTGTTCACGGCAGATCGGTCTTTCAGACACACGTGGTTCGATTTATTCTCAGAATTTTGCTGGCCCAATTCCAACGGTGCCTAGCCACCATGACCATGCGGGCATTGAACCATGGCACTCTGCCTGCCCTCGAGGATCTGTTTGTGGAAGCAGCGGCAGGGGATGTCATTCGTTCCTATTTTGCAGACAGAGCCATCAAGACCACTGCTACTTTGGCCCTGCTTGCCAAAGATGAAGACCACCTCTCATCGGTTTTGATCACACCTTTGATGAGTGGGTGGGAGAAACAGGATGGATCCAGGATCAGCCTAGCCGAGGCTGAAAAGCCAATTGCAGAAGCCATCTTGAAGCATCTCTGGAATGAAGCCAATAGCTCTTGGCAGGCTCAGATGACCTTGCGGCATGCTCCTCCAGTCACTTCAGTTCCTGGCGCCATTTCGCTAGCAGCAGCGAATCCAGTGGCCGAGGAGAAGATTCCGAGGCAGTTGCCTCCCGGTGTCTGGGCCAATTTGCTCCATGAGTACCAGTCGCAACAAATTGGGGGCGTTGACCGGATTTTCCCGGTCAACGAACTTCTTGGCACAGACAAGATCTTGGCCAGGGTTTACTACGAACACACCAGCTCCAAGACCTACAGTCCGGTGGGTCTCGGTGAGTTGGTAGCCGCCAGGACTTTTACTGCGGCTGGCGAACCAAACCCATTGGCCAAGAAGGATCGCAGCACTACCACGTTGTTGCTCAACGATGCCAAGCTCGTAGCTGCCCCTGAAGAAGCGTGGCAACCACGCAGTGTTTTGGCAGTGCTGGATGGATTAGCTTCCATCCGTTGGTGCTTCATTCTGTTGAAACTTGGGAGTGAGCAGGCAGTCCACTCCTATTTTGATTGGCTGACCAGACTGGTTCGATCGAGACCTCAAAAGACCGAACAGTTTGGGCAATTCTTCATCACTATCAGTTGGAAGTTGGCCACCGCAATGAGAAGTGGCCAGTCCTTTGATGCTGCGGCTAGCCTCTTGATGAAAGACTTGGATATTTTCAGTGAGTGCATGTCACGAGAGGCATCTTCTTCGACCAAGAAGTCCAACAATACCGAGAAGACTGGACCTCAGAAAGGTTCCGGCAAAGGAGGGGGCAAGTCCAAGTTTGGCCAATACAGGTCGCAACCGTATGCCCGTCAAAACAAGACATGGACGGCGCCATATCGCGATGGAAATGGGGCCCCTTCTCAATCTACATGGCATCCTGAGGCGAGCTCTCCTGCCAGATGGTCGTCATCTTCTTGGCCATCTGATTGGAACGCCAGTGGCAAATAGGGACAACACGGGGACCCACCTTTTGAGGTGGGTGGGTCACCCGACCCTGTTGTCATTGCTGACAACCGCCCTCCACTGCCACGCAGGATATCCCAACCACGTGCCGAGGCCTCCCCAGTTTCGGGCAATGACATCATTTTGCTGAGCTGTTTTGATGGTATTGCAACGGCTGCTCATGTTTTGACACAGATGTTTGGCACGCTTTTCCTCTTTGTGGCTTGGGAGGTTGACCCCGAATGCTTGCTCATCACAAAGCGCCACTTTCCACAAGTAGTGGCCAGAGGCGATTTCATGTCTGATCCTGCTGCTGATGTAGTGTCTCTGGTCTCTGAGTACGACCCACAAGGCAACAAATTGATATTGTTTGTTGGAGCTCCACCGTGTCCAGACTTTAGCGCGATTCGCCCTGATGCACCTGGCCGTTCAGGACCAGAAGGACAGAAGTTTTCCCATTATTGCACCTGGTGTCGTGAGGTTGAGTCTGGTCTTCCCCACCATCGAGTGGGCTACCTGGTGGAGAACGTGATTTTGCAGGATCGTGGTGAGGCGGATTTTTTCTCCAACGCGTTGGGTTGTCAGACAGTTGCAGTTGATGCATCAGATTTCGGATTGATCAGTCGTCCTCGGCTGTGGTGGAGCCGCGTTGATTGACACACTGTAAATTCATATCCAGGGTCTGCCAAGCCTTTGCGTTGGACCAAGCTGCATAAATTTCCCCGTCTGCATGTGGACTGCGATCTTCAGCATGCGTCATCGTTGGACCTTGATGGCAAACATCTGGACCCCCGGGTTCAACGACATGAGCTGTGCGTCCCTTGCTTGACCACTCCTTCGCCTTCCGCATCTGGACGGGCGGCTCCGAAGCGAATGAAAGGGAAGTTGGACCCATACACCAAAACCCGCTGGCTGGAGGATCATCGCACCTATGCTCCATGGCAGTATGAACCGCATGCTCTACTGCATGATGACCAGGGCAACATGCAGGTGCCCACTGCGGAGTGCAAAGAGCAACTGCATATGCTACCAAAAGGCACACTGCCATTGATGGAGTCCACGATCGAAGCCGCCACCGAGTTCTGGCAAATGGATGGCATTGTGGCGTCGCCCGCTTTCTTTTTCAGTTTGTCTTGGCAGCGATGGTCACAGGCTCCGCTTCCACCACTTTGAAACCACCTCCACGACAGAGCACGTTGCAATGGGTGGAACAGTTGATGCGGGTCCAAACGGCACATGTTGGACCAGGTTTCTGGCCCACTCAGCCAATTTGTGTGGCTCCTTCACGAGACATTTGGGATCATTGGCACAATGCCACCACTGCGGATCACCCTTTGCATTTTCCTGCCAAGATTGCACCTGGTTTTGTTCAATGCTTGAAATTTCAGTTTGATTGGCGTCATGACTTGGTTCGCATCCGTGAAGAACTGGCTGTCGAAATTCACACGATGGTCGATGAGTGGGCCGACCACACCCATGATTGGTGGTTGAAGTTGCGGCCCCATATACAACAAGTATATTGGAACCCTGACACCAAGGTCATCACACAGATACCGGTTTTGCTGCATTTGTTGGGTCGATTTGGTTTTCCTGGTTTGCCTGAACTAGCAGATGATCTTTGTAATGGTTTTGCCATGACTGGTCAACTACATGGAGGTAGCGGATGGGCCCCACGTACAGATGATAAATATGCCTCACCTTTATCAATGCCACGGTTCAAAGAGCTGAATCGCCATTATATCTTGCAAAGGTTGAATCATCCGCGTATTGACAAGCATGCTGACACCATGTTAAAAGAGCTCATTGAAGAACTTCGGCTAGGACGTATGGGAGGCCCTTTTCTGGCTCCCACTTGGTGGCCTTGCAACACAGCAGAGCTCCCTGATCGCTACAATATTCCTTTGCCAGATGATGAGATTTCTGCATCTTTTTGTTTTAGCGTCGAACAAAGTGACAAAATCCGACGCTGTGAAGATTTCAAGCACAGCTTTCTGAACAGTACAGTATGTGTACACGATACCCCACATCATGATGATCTTTCCGTTTTCGTTGAACTTATCCGTGCTCATTTTGATTTGCAAATTCAAGCCCAAGCCTGGGCACAGGACCTGGATGGTGCGTATCGCCAATTTCCACTTCGCGATCCACGCGATGGCTTTTGTATCCTTCAATTGGGTTCAGGCCCTTTGCTGCTTCAACATCATGCACTGAGTTTCGGCGCTGTCTCTTCAGTTTGGGGATTCAATCGGGCAGCAGATGCTTTATGTTTCCTGGCTAGACGTATTTTTCAGATTTGCGTGGGTCATTTTGTTGACGATTTTGTTGGTATTGAAAATTCCCAGACCATTCATAGCGGCTTTGATGCGTTTAGCGCGGTTTTCCGATGCTTTGGCCTCAACATGAAAGACAAGAAATCCCTTGCGCCGAGTTCCCATCAGAAGATTTTAGGCGTCATGGTTCACATTCGAGATTCTGATATTGTTTTGAGCCCACACCCTGATCGCTTGGAGAAGCTTCGTAACGCTTTGCTGAAGATTCAGACGCAACAGTTTTTGAGTGTCCAGGAAGCACAACGCATTGCTGGCAAGCTGGTATTTCTCACGAGCAGCTTGTTTGGACAGCTGGGCAAATCTGCAATTCATCCTTTTTATGTTTTTGCACATTCTGGCGCAAAGGATGTTCACCATGATGCGTTGCCAGTTGCGATGAACTGTGCTATTCGTACCTTGTTGATGCTTTTTGATGCCCTTCAACCACGTCTGATTTCCACCAGGGTATTAAGCCGACCTGGAGTCCTGTACACTGATGCTTTCTTCAAAAAAGGTGATCACACCTTCTCTGCAGGTCACTGTTGTCCTACAGGGCTTTGGGCGAAATCACGATGTCATCAATTTGAAAATGGTTGGGGTTTCGTTTGCCATATTTACCACCATACAGTGTTCGCTGCTGGTAGTGTGCCACCAAGGGTTCTTCGAGCATTTTGCGAGAGACGTGCTTTCATCTATTTTCTTGAAATTGTTGCGCAATTGATAGCAATGGCGGTGCTGCGAAATCATTTCCCTGCCTTGATCATCGCATTGATTGACAACCAAGCCGGTTTGTCCGGACTCCTCAAAGGTTACGGAAAAGACTCCTGTATCAACAATTTACTGGCATTCATTTGGCGACTTATTTGTCATTTCGGTTGGAACATTCATTTTGAATGGGTTCCTTCTTCCTTGAATATGAGCGATTCTGTATCTCGTTTCGATTTTTCTGATATGACAGCTTTGAAGGCCACAAGAGTTCATTTTAATCTTGATCCGCTTTGGAAGATTTTAATTCGCGTAGCCAATGATTTGGAATATGCACATAGCTC